ATTTGACTGCTACTGAGGCGTACGCTAGCAGGGAATCTAAATGATTAAAGTTCATTAAGCATCAGTCTAATTACTTTCTTTGTAGAAGATTTCCTTGTCCGGCTGTTGGATCCACATGATAGTTGAATTTGCTGGAGTTGCCGTCTGTTTCAACTTGTTCTCAAACTGGAAAATAGACGTTCACAGCGAAAACATGTGAGAAGCTAATGAAATGTTAGACACTTTTACTTTGTATAATTGCACACTTGCCAGATTCAGGATGGCTCCAGTCACAACAGGATCATTCAGGTCAATTGTGGATTTCAGCGCCTTCACCATAAAGCGTCTGAAATACTTTGTTGGAGGTGGAGCCGCTGAAGCTGTGGGAAAAAATGGGAATCGGCTGTATTTACAAAACCATCGTAGTATGAAACCAGGACCGATGTAGTCTGTAACAGCTTACTGGTGTAGCACATGAAGTAAAAGTGTGTTCCACAGGTGTACTCCATGAATTTTCCAACGTTGGCGGCATCAATCAGGCTGGCTGCGCAGTCCCCGGTCCCACCCTGTGGGTGTCCTTGTATCCAGTGATCCAGCTTGTGCACGGAGCCGTCAGACCACCATGTCCAGGTGGGTCTGTGTAATCCGATGAATGTCAGAGTCTCAGATGGTATCACCTTTGTAATGTCATCGTCTTCAGCTTTGGACATTACACTGGCCAGGTCTGTGTGGTTCTGCCTGCAGTAGGCCTGAGCGTCGTTCCATGTCAGGGCTTGGTTTATGAAGACATAGTTCTTGGTAGAGATGGGCGATAAGACTGTAAATGAAAAAAAAATAATAAGTTGAAATATTTATCATGTTTACTAAACTCAGTTTTCTCTGCTAATGTCAAAGTTAGAGACAATATTAAATAGATCATGTGAAGTGGCAGTTTAGTTAAATAAAAAACTAGCGATAGCCTAAATTACCCATGTCGTAGCAGACGAAAGGCAATTCTTGGTTACAGAGAACATCCCACCAGCTGCCTTTCAACTGAGCTCCACATAGCTCCCACATATTTCTTGGATTACTGGGTTTCACCGGAGGAAAGTATGTCAATGGTTCAACACCTCCTGGTTTGGACCACATCCAGTTGAACCCTTTGTCACTCAGACCAATCCACACTGTTCCAATGAAGCCGGCAGCATCTGCAATCATCTGGTTCACGTCCACCACGGTGTCCATTGTGGCCAAGTCAGTGTATTTACTTCTGCAGTAGCTTTGAGCATCAGACCAAGTCTTGGTTTGCTGAACGACGACGTACCGACGACGGCAGGAACTGAGTCCTGTAAGTAAAGACATACTGGACTCATTTAAAGCAACATTTAAGAGTTTTTACCACGTCAAGCCTTTGCTTTCAAACTGGTTTCAGTGGTTCTTGAGCCACAAACTTTTAACATCTTCACATTGGACAGCGCTCTATAGCTCTCTGCTGACCAGAAACGGCACTCAACAGATTTGGTGTTTGGGTAGGAACACTGATGGGAGAACTTTACCTGATTTACAACAGCTATTTACTGTGCAGGAGTGCATGGAGTCTGGAGATAAAAGTAAGTGAGTAACGTCTTTGGAGGTGAAGCAAAAAGCTAAAACCATAGTGAACATCAGCGTAGTCTGCACTATTTTAAGAAAGCTGCAAAACCTAATGGTGACCTGGCTTTGTTGCTACTGGATTTATAGTAATTTTGTCGTGTGGATCGTTTTATTTAGCGGCTTTTTTTAGGCTACGTTCACACTGCAGGTCTTAAAGCTAAATTCAGATTTTTGTGTGTGTGGTTCTTCCATTATAGCTGAAATGCAACATCAAACACTCCAGTGTGAACAATTCACTGTCCCAAATCAACCTGCTAACACAAAAGACAAAAAGTCACACAGTGGAGTCGGAACCAGGACAGGAGTGATGTGAAAGCCTTCACTGAGTTCTGTTCATCCACAGTTTAAGGATCATATCTGTCAAGTCTCCCAATTTTGGACTGGAAACAGTTTTAAAAACTATGAACTATTTAACTCCTTATTCCCACCGTCTTCCCAAATGATGAAATTCTCTGAAAATGTTCCGGTGTTAAGTTAATTCATGGAGAACCCACCCCACCTCACAGAGACGGAGACCGGAGAGATGCTTCGCTCCAGCAGCTCTTCCTGTTCTCATGCTCTTCTGTACTTTTAATTCCTAATTGTGGCAGGATGTCCAAACTGACTCCTGAATCCTTCTGTCAGTGCTTCTCCTCAGGAAAGTCAACACACAACGCTTCCCTCCGCTGACTCAGTGACGTAGAAGGTGGATTCAATGCATCATGACCGCTCAGACTGCAGTCACTTTCAAAAACATCTGATATGTATTGGATTCAGTACCACATGTGAAAGTTACCTGGATCAGATTGGAAAAAAATCTGATCATTGCTGTTCAGACAGTCACAAATAAACCAGATGCAGGTCGCATGTGTGGAAAAAGATTGGATTTGATGTGCTTTAAGCTGCAGTGTGAACTTAGCCCAAGTATCAGTTAGCTCATGTTAGAATTAGCTCATTGTTGGCACTAGCTACAACACTTGTGAACTTGCTTTCAACCAGTAGGAGGGAGAAATAGAAAATGTATTTGGTGTTGCTTTAAAGTCAAACAGTACAAAAGACTGCCTCAAATTCAGACTTAGTTTAATCATCTATGTGTAGGTGTCCAACTCAAGTTGTTGGGCTAAATCTGGTCTATTTATGTTTGGCCCACGAGATCACATGTCATGTGTGTGTTAACTGACCCACTGGCTTGTTTGCTGCAAATACTTCAAATCCTACAGTGCGTTGCTGCTTTAACGCGTCCCCTTCTTTGCTGTTTAGTTATTAGCGTCCATGCTGCCAGTCTCGGCGTCAGCAGCTCAGGCTGCACCTCCTCATACTCGGACAAACTCAAAATACTCCTCTTACTGTGGTTTTAAGCACTTTTTCAACTCCAAAGCATGAATGATAATAGCTGAGATATTGCATTTTTATCTGAGGAAATTGTTCTTTTTTTTTTTTGTTGTTGGCCTGTTAAAAAGGATTTAACCTACAGTAGAACAGAAACTAGAAAGGCTACAGTAACACGTAAAGAATAGAAATAGAATAGAAAATCCCTTTTTTGTCCCTCAGTGGGGTTAGCTGTGTGTCTCGTAATAATTACACGGGAGCAAAAGTGTGTGTGTGTGTGTGTGTGTGTGTGTGTGTGTGTGTGTGTGTGTGTGTGTGTGTGTGTGTGTGTGTGTGTGTGTGTGTGTGTGTGTGTGTGTGTGTGTGTGTGTGTGTGTGTGTGTGTGTGTGTGTGTGTGTGTGTGTGTGTGTGTGTGTGTGTGTGTGTGTGTGTGTGTGTGTGTGTGTGTAACAGAATTTGAAAAAATAGAGACATAAGTAATGAATACCACTGATGTGTGTTTTACTTCACATTTAGTGGCTGTTGTGTAATTTGGTTTTTCCAGATTCAGTATTTATGCAAAAATAAGTTTGTTTCCAAATGAAAAGGTTCAACAATGCATATCTGGAGATGTACTCTTTTGCCGTCCATTTTTTAATAAATATTGAATTTGGCCCGTGATTTGGCTCCAGTTCATTATGACCCACTTAGAATTAGTTTTACGCCCCCGCTCTATGGCTAAGTAAATGCTTTTTCTTCAAGTGTATTCACACACAAATAGCCATTTTCTATTGGTAAAATTATCTATATTTTTATTATTTTTTAGCAGAACCCCCCCCCCCCCCCCCCCTCACACACAAACACAAAAAATTATATTTGCGTGAAACGTGCACACTCATTGTTCTGCAAAATGTTGAACCCACCCAGCATTATTTAAAATAACAGCAAAAGAAGAATGGCAGGGACATGGAGGTCAGCAGAAGCAACCGCTGACATCTGTCAGTGATCCAATCTGCCAGTGAGTACATGTGCTGGGTCAGCTGGTTACTGACATGAAAACCAAGTGACCTGATGCGTGGCAAACACGAGTGCTAAAAAAAACTGAAGAGAATTTTAAAAACACTGAAACCCCATCTAAACAATAAAAAAAGCAAAAGTAAGAAACAGTTTAGCCAGGTCATCAGTGAGGTTTTCCTAAATTTCACTTGAAGCGGCTAAAAATATCTCCTAACTGACCACGTGTTTGTAATGGATGCAATAGCAGAGACGACTAATGATGGGAGAGGAAAAACAAATTGTACAAACGCCAAAAATGAGTTTGGAACTACTACTGAACATTTTCCTGTCACTGCTCCAACCTTCCTCCATCCTTTGGGCTGATCGTAGGCCAGCGTGTGATCAGCCACGTAAAGAGGTGAACATCTGCTCTTACTGCAGTTGGAAGGGGGACCTCTTCAAAGACTGGGTTGTCCGTGAGTGCTTCGGGATGGGCGAGCCATCTGCTTTGTGCTATCATATCAGTCTACAGCTCAATTAGCTGGATGTAAACGGGTCACTTTCACCATTCAAGTCAATGTTTGACCATTTTTTAATACTGGGAAAGAAAAACTAAACGATTCAGATAAGAGCTAATTAAACGACAAGTGATCTTGAACAATATTTCTTCAGACTTTCATGCAGTTATTTTTTAAAGTTACAACTAATTAATAATAAGTGTTTATCAATCAATGTTGCAGAAAGCACAAAATACCTTTTGAGTAGTTCTTATTTTAGTTCATTTTCAAACTTACCAAATAAAAGGAAAGTCCACAGAATGAGGGCCCTGATGCCTGCGGATGAGAAATGTTCGTTAGACAACAAAATCAAGCTAATTTTGGATTCTAAACTTAATCTAGGTTCAATTACATACCTGAGCATGCAGGACTGCAGGTGTTGGACATTTCAAACTCCCCTGGATCGTCCTTTATCGCAATGTGTCTTGAGTTTATCTGGACTCAAGTAGCTGTTACCTCCTTGTCGTTTGGTTTTTGTCTCGACTGAATTTCTTTATATGCAAAACATTGATCACCATATCTCTAAATACCCATCATGGGATTAGTTGCATTGTAGCTTTTGCATCAGGTGAATCGGTGTGTTTTTACATCTGTTTTGCATTGGTAAAGCTAAGAAAACGACCTACATCAATTGACTTTTTGCCAGTTAAGACGGGTTTTTATAAGTCTTGGTCTAAAGCCTTTTAAAACTATCCGTCACCAGTCACATCACCCCATCCACCAAACAAATGGAGCGCTGTGATTGGCCCACCAAACCGATAAAGCAGAATTTCGCAACCTTTTTTCCTTAAGGACCCCCTTTGCTGTCTCTGAGATAAGCCAGGACCCCAACCGCAGCTTCTACCTGCACGCACACATTAGAAGTAATTAACACTTTATAAGGACCCAGAGTTACAACTCTTATACAGAGCTTATAAACTATACTATTGGGTGTGTTACAGTATTAGGATTTTATGAATGTAATTTAACCTCACAACCTCAGCACTGCCACAACTGTGGGGACCCCCTTGGGTGGTCCTGGACCCCAGGTTGGGAACCTCTGCAATAGAGCACTTTGACTGACATAACTCGGTACTGTTCCAACAGAGCGTTGCTATACCGACCTGCAAATTAGCTTTGGCTACCATCTGTTTAGATGTCCAGGCTAACGATGTGCAACTTAAGCGTAACCCTTTGTGGACGGTAGGACGGCTGAAATAACAGCTATAGGTGCCTAGTTGTTTTATTAATGCACATTGATTTGCCTCTGTGTACGCATGTAAATAAAGCTGCCTTGCTGGGTGGTTTTGGTCTTACAATTCAATCGGAAATAACAGGACAAATTAAAGAGATGTGGGAAGTTTCTGCACACAAGTGCTTTTATTTGCAAACATAAATCACTTAACATTTTCCACCTGCCCTGATTTTTAAATTCAGCCTTGCTCTTCTCACCCAAATGCACCCAGATTATGTCAGTAACTGATTAGTGGTGAAAACAGAATTTATATAAAAAATGTCAAAGAGGATACCATTAAACTGTACATTCTCCAAAGTGAGATGGTTCAAGGAGATGTCTGTACCGGGTAAGATGACCTTTCTACTGAAACTCTTGTTAAGTTCGGAACCGTGCCTTGAAGTGGTGTTAAATGTAGAACCGCTGTAAAACACCTCGTCAGCTCATTTCTTATCTAGAAATGTGCTCCAAATCAGGACACACACTAAAGATGTATCAAAGTATTGTTGCTTACAGCTCTTCTCAGTAGGTAAGTGAACTTTCACCTCTTATCTGAAGCCAAAGGTCTCCAACCACTCTTAAAACTAACCAGGAGTTTCAGGTGTTAATATCAACTCCACTGCCACACTCTCCATGCACAAAAGTTACCATCAGATGATCAAATTGAAGTTCAGATGTGAACACTAGGGCCGAGCTACACCTCAGGTGTGTGAGCTAACAGCCGGCTGACTCCTTAATGATGAGTTTAGGATTTCTGTGACGCAGGTAGAGGAGACCAGGTGGATCAAGAGGAGGGAGGGCTGGTTTATGAATAACTGTTGACGCCACATTTTCCACAGTGACAGTGTATTCATTTACAACAGGAATCCCCTGCTGGGTCCCAGGAGTGAAGAGTGGCTGCTTCTACTCGGAGATGTGAGTACGACCAGCAGAAACTACAGATGATACAAATGTGGTGCATGGTCATCTGAATTGATGGGATTGTAGCTTGAGTACAGATATTTAGGTTTATTTCTATGCTGCTGCAATATTCTTTTGTTGATGACGCTTTACAATACTTCACCACTTATAAATGGGTAATAAATAGTCTTGAGTATGTCATAAATATCTGTTCAGTCGGTGTTTATTGTGCGTCAATTTAGGGCAAGAGGGAACAGATTTGCTCACTATTTTGCAAGAAACCTGTGCTTTTTCTCCATCTTCATGTATAATACTTAACAATGCTTTATAATATGTTGTAAATTTGCTAATACCACATCTATAAACTAGTATTTTATAAGAGCCTTATTCTAAAGGAGTCCCCTTTTGTCTTGGAAGAAAATCAAAGATCCCAGTTAAACAGACGTTATGGCTGCAGGTTTATGGGTGGAAAAATGTGTTACTCTTAATGTGAAGATGTAAAAAAACAGCTTTTTGCTCCAGTCAGTTGAATAGTAGCTTCTGGAACCAAAATGTCATTCATCAGTGAAACATGGGGGAGGCAGTATCATCATCAGGGCTTAATTTGTTGTTTCTGGTGCAGGACGAGTTATCACTCATAAATATTCTGAACTGAATTGATTGAATGACCCTAAGTTATTAGATGAATTTATCTGCTTGACATTAAAATAACTGTTACTCAAATACCCATAACTATTGCAAGTTGTTTCTAAAACAGCAAATAAGGAAGTGTGTTTCATTTGGTTGCCGTATTTGGATCAAAGCTCTTATTAGACTAATTAATGGATGTATTTCTAGGTTGTTGGAGCACATTGAAACACACTTCACCACCAGTCATTTCTCTGTTCGTCTCATGTTACGTCACATGTTAATCTTGGGTAAAGCCTGGGTGTGTCTGGTTTGGGGAACATGATGACTTGCGTCTCCAGAATAATTCCTGGTGTTTTTGCACCTTCTTCCTTGAGCTAATAATTTCTCGTTCTGCAGATTACAGCACTTTCAGGAATCATGCTACCAGAAAAACAGTTCCAGTGCACCATATGCCACCAAGTGTTCACCGACCCAGTCACCACTCCATGTGGTCACAACTTCTGCCAAACCTGCATCCGGAACACGTGGGAAGGCAGTGATGTCTGCCAGTGTCCCACCTGTAACAAGTCATTCGCCTCCAGACCTGACATGAGCATCAACACTGCCTTCAAAGAGCTGGCGGAGACATTTAAACAAATGATGGTCCTCTCCTCTGCCTCTTTGCTGCCTGCAGCCAAACTGGATGAGGTGGTGTGTGACGTGTGCGTCGCCACCTCCCAGCAGGTCAAGGCCCAGAAGTCTTGCCTGGTGTGTCTGACGTCATACTGCGAAGCTCACCTGGAGCCTCACAGGAGAGTTGCCACCTTGAAGCTGCACACGCTGATGGAACCGCTGAAGAACCTGCAAGACAGAGTGTGCAAGCACCACGAGAGGCTGCTGGAGATGTTCTGCAGGGACGAGCAGATGTGTGTGTGTCGGTTCTGCACCGAGGCCGAACACAAAGATCACCAGGCTGTTGGGATTGAGGAAGAAAGTGGAGAGAGGAAGGTACACAGAGGAGGGCTAGCTTACAGCTGTGGAATAAAGAAACAACACACACCTTTAAAACGGCCATTTTCCATCAAAGTCACCAAGCTTTTGATTATCACCTGAAATAGAGCTGTTCAGTTTTTGATATGGCCTATAGACCAACAAACCAATGCCAATATGTGCAGGTTGTCCCCTTGTGAGAAAAATCTAACTTAAATGATTTCAGGTAACTAACATCACATATCATGGGTACTTAACCCTAACCTTTACTCTGCAAATTAAAGCTGAACTGAAGTTAGACCAGTTGTGCCAAAGAAAAATAAATCTCATTAGACCTCATATGTCATTTAGACATCATAATGAGCAGAAAGGGCCAAAATGCATGATGAAATGTTTGTACATGCATGGTGTGTAAAAGTTAATTTCTGATATTAGTTGAACACCAATATTGACTAATGATGATGGGAGGCCAGTATTACTGGAAATCCCCAATAGGAAACGAAAAAATGGAAAAGGCAGTTTTTTTTTCAACGGTTACTCATTCTTGTTAACAAATGCTTCATTTACAGTAGCGATTAAAAAAAATAAAGGTCCTTTAACCCTAAATTAGTAATTATTCAAAATGTCAGATTGTTAGTTTAATCGCTTAAAACCAGGGGTCACCAGTCTCAGTGAAGCTGAGGGCTACGTGAGCCACATGAAGGGCTACCAGGTTGATCCAATAGGGACCATTGAACTAGACTAGATCAGAGTTTAACTAAACTTCACTTTAATAAACACATGTTAATGTTTTAAAGGAAATTTTAGTTTTTAAATCTATTGATGCAGATTTTCAGATTTTAAAAAGGTGGAAGCAATTTGTGCTATTTGGAGAAAAGGCCTTTGGACTCCAGGTTGGTGACCCTTGTTTTAAACCAAACAAGCTTTTACTTTTCTGTGTTCAGGTCCAAATGAAGCAGACTGAGGTTGATTTTCAAAACATGATCGAGAAGCACCAGAAGAAAATTGAGGAGATAAATAACTGCCTAAAAATGAGCAAAGTAAGTTGTGAATGAAAAAATAATTTGTCATTAGCTGGTTACAGTCTATAGATTTGATTTGATTTTCTCTCCCCCAGCTGAGCGCCGAGAAGGAAAAATCCGCCAGCAACAGTCTCTTCACATCTCTGATCAACTCCATCAAAGAGAGACAATCTGAAGTCAACTCAGAGATCGAACGAAAGCAGGAAGCAGAAGAAAGGAGGGCTGAGGAGCTCGTTAGTGAGCTGCAGCTGGAAATCACCGAGCTTCAGAGGAGAAACGCTGAGCTGAAGGAGCTGGAGGACACCGAGGACCACCTGCACCTCCTACAGGTTAGTCTCTGCATGTGATGAAAGACTCATCAGGACAGTGTGTGTGATTCTGGAGGAAATCTTTTACTGTTGCAGAGCGTGCCCTCTCTGGTTTCACCTCCACCTACCAGGGAGTGGGCAGATATCAGCATCCACCCTGAGCTCTGTGTGGGGACCGTGAGGAGAGCTCTGTCCAAACTGGACCATATGCTGAAGAATGAGCTGCTCTGTTTGAAGAAAGAAGGTAAACTAAATAAAATAAAACAGATCATAAGTGTTCATCCTAAGTAATCCAGGATTACGGTAAATCAGATCTGGTTATTATAGTTTAGTTTTATTCCAGGTAACTATTTTTTCCTGTTATTTTCTGGCTGCTGAAAGATTTTTTTAAATCACGTATTTAACGTGCACAGATGTCATGTGGCGTAGATGATATCACTCAAAGCCCACCAGCGAGGGGTTGGCATGTTCTCATGCATGAGAGTTTTCTCTGGGTGCTCAGTTTTCCTCTCGTAGACCAAAAACACACGTTTATGTTTAACTGGAGACTCTAAATTGTCCGTAGGTGTGAGTGAATGTGTGACTGGCTGGTTGTCACTGGGATGGACTGGAGCTGTTCATATATTGAACAGATTGACATTCAGAGATGAGAAGTTGTAGTTTTCAGCACAACCATATGGTGGCAATGTTGTCCACCATGTTGGACCCAGTGACACTGTTACACCCCTCTGCCCCTCCTCTAGCTCGGATAAGCCCCCACGTATGTTATGTCTTGGCTATGCTAGTGTTGTAAGAAGGTAGCATACACCTGTGACCGGATGTTAAGATGCATGATTATATGCATTTAATGAGAACAAAGGAACTGCTGACTGTACCTGGAGCTCGAAGTGATCCGCAATCTGGACCAAGTCCTGTTTGCAGCAACCCTCAGCAGGCTCACTGAGACGGATCTGCTAAAAATTCTTCCACCTCAAACATAGCTGACTGTACACAGACTAAGGCCTAGTCCACACGTAGCCGGGGTTTTTTAAAAACGAATAACCGCCCCTCCAAAAACTTGCATCCACACCACCGCGTTTAAAAAAAACTGTCCACACGTACCCGGATAAATACGTTGTTAAGGACATGCCAGACCTGTAGGCGGCAGTACTTCCCCCGTCCTTAACCTCGTCCTTCGTCTGTGGTCTTCCGCAAGGATCAGTAATTCCGCTTGCAAAAACAAACAAGCAGAAAGCGCTTGGATAATTGATGGATCGGGTAGTGACAGAGCGCAGCTCTGAGGGCTTCCATGATGCCGGCTAGTGTAAACACAGGTCGCACACGTGATGTCAGCATTTTTTGTCGCGGAAAGTGACGTTGCGGACCTTAAAACTCCGGTTTTGTCTGTCCACACGCAGACACCCAAAACGGAGAAAACGCAGATCTTCACTTTGGCCGGAGTTTTTAAAAAGATCCGTTTTCATGTGAAAAAAACTCCGTTTTCGTGTGGATGACAGGCCAAAACGTAGAAAAATATCTAAAATTTTGGCAGATCCCCGGCTACGTGTGGACAGGGCCTAAATCAATGCAAAATACTCTGACCAAAAACGGAAAGGATAAATATCCCGGACAAGCCCCTATTTATCTTGTGACCAAACTCCTGGAACCGCAACATAAAATGAAGACTGAACACAAATTTCGGTGTTTAAGATTATTTTTACTTGTAAAGAGCTGTTTAAAATCCTGAAACGAACTGCCGAGCAGGAGCTCTGGAGGTGGTGTGCTTGAAGCTTCACTGAGGAGGATTTTTGTCTGCACCCACAGGTACAGCCAGTTGGTGCAGTCAAGGCCTGCACAAAATCCTCACCAATGGAGAGGCAGAAGGGTTGTAAAGAAACAAAATCTTTACGAGGAGTCTATTAAACATGTACGTCTTTTACAAAATGTGCATATTTCCTACTAAAACATAGTCACGAGACCTTTAGTTTGCAGCTTGAACCCATCTAAAAAATGTGAGACAAATTTAGGGGAGGATCAGAAATGAAATTGCAAATACATTAAATTTAAATGTTACAGTTTGGATTCAAAATAAGCACTGGGCTTTCATGCTGGTTATGGAACAGAGGGCCAGATATTGCAGAGCTGGTCAGTGGGTCATCTTGGGCTATGGCTGTCCAGCTCTGTTTGACCAAAACAAAAACTGTATTGAAGTAGGGATGTTTTTGTGTCTGATCCTGTTTTTGGTGTTCATGGAGAAGAGCGGATCTGGTTTGGGAACCTCGTGGACGAGCTTTTTGCAGATGATGTACATCTGTTACATCCATCACGGATGATCGTGAAGCTCCTCCAAATTGAATTAAATCTTCTGTTACACGGCCGTAGATGAAACCAACTGATAAAGCTTGCACGTCACAATTTTGTCCGATTCCAGCTGAATATTTGTGTTTTCTCACAATTTTATTTCTCCAGCTGAAACTGGTTTAGGAATCCGATTCGTAATTTTTTTTTAACAGTTTAACCACTGACTAATGGAATTATGCACTTTCTACAGTTAAAACATTATTTGTATGGAAACTATCAACAAATGAACATGCCTTATGTGTGCTGTTCCGGTAAAGGAAGGAACAGCCACTGCTTTGGTCAGGACGTTAATGTTTATTTCTCCTTAAAAGTCCAGAAGAAATTTTGTTTTGCTCTCCTGGATCCATCTGAACTGTGTTTTTATGTTTGTTTTAACAGAGATGAGAAGAATGCAGAAACATGCAGGTAAGAACAACGCTGACATTACATAAATACCTGGGTGCTAATTTGCTCCTGATGTGTTTTATTTCAACCATTCAGCCTTCCTGACGGGAAGTGCTGTGGGAAGTAATTCTGGCTTGGGTGGAAGTATTACCAGAACTGCATTTCATTTCTATAGTTGATGTGGAGTTGGACCCGGATACGGCCCATCCAAACATCGTCCTGTCAGCTGATGGGAAGCAGGCTGGCCGAGGTGAGCAGCTCCACGCTGTTCCCGACAAGCCCCAACGCTTCGACCCGGTCATCTGCGTTCTGGGAAAGAAGGGTTTCCAGTCTGGGAGGTTCTTCTTTCAGGTAGACCTTGAACAGATTAAACAACTCCACGTTTGGCGGGAAAGTGAAATGTTGACGATCTGTTTGAATGTAAATCAGGTTGCTGTGGGGAAAAAGACCTTCTGGGACTTGGGTGTGGTCAAAGAATCCGTCAACAGGAAAGGCATGATCACCACCAAGCCGGAGAACGGCTACTGGACGGTGCGTTTGAGGAACGGTAACGAGTACCGAGCTCTGGACTCCCCATCCGTCCTCCTCTCTCTCAGGGAAATGCCTCAGACTGTGGGGGTGTTTACAGATTATGAGGAAAGGACGGTTTCGTTCTTTGACGTGGAGGCCAGATCCCACATCTACACCTTCTCTGGGTGTTTGTTCTCTGAAAAGATCTTCCCCTTCTTTAGCCCAGGGGTGTTAGATGAAGGGAGGAACACGGGCCCTCTAGTGATCACAGCTGTTAGTCAGGAGCCTTAAAGTGTTCTGGAGCAGGAGGACGTCCTCTACAGAGCACACTCTGTTTAAAGACGAATATAGATAAATATAGATGTGTGAATGTAAAACAGTAGCTGAGTGTGTTAAATATAGACAGTTTATAATAGACAGAACTGTCATGCCGTATCACATACTGTGTGAAGGCAGAGATGAGGTATTACTGATGGTTAATGAGTGATGGATCATCCATTCATCCATCTTTAGTTTGATTTGCAACATCTTTGCATCAGCACCAGCTGTCAGATGGAGTTTTGTGTGCTTTGCATCTTAATGAGGTTGTTGTCCAGCACACGTGATGATGGCTGCTCCTGCAGAAAGTATGCAGTCAGAAACTCGAATACAAAATGCAAACTATCATTCGCTTATTGAACCATGTGCTGGAGCCTCATGCAGCTGACATGAAATGTGCTTGTTTACAAATAAAACTTGTTTGGAATAGTCTGTGATGCCTGTGTTCTTTAACCCTTTAGAACATAAAATCAGTCAATTTAGTTTATAAACTAATAAAATGGTCACCATAAAAGTGAATATTGTAATTTGGTAGTAAAATGTCCAACTGTGCAGTACTTAGGTCTGCCACTAGAGGGTAGAAGAGATTTCTAGGAGTGGCTTTAATGCATCAGTAGTGCTGTTGGAAATACTCACAAGATATTATAGATTTGAGCTCCATTAATCGTGCAACGGATTGATCAGAAATTGTATTGATCTTAAATTGAAAAAGTAGAAATATATATATAAAATATTACTAGTCTGAAAAAAAAGTATTTCGAGTTGAACACTGATTCAAATGGGCACTTTGTTAATCTCCATACAGTTTGCATGTGGACCTTAGAGGACTTTTACTAAATGGCCCGTGTTTCATTTCTGAACATTTCTGATCAGACAAAATATAAAAACATAATTTAAAGAAAATGGAATTCCCTTTGTAGCAATGAATTACTTTTATATTTATATTAATTTTTAATTGCTGATGAGGTAGATTTGCCATCCATTCATTTTCTTCTGCTTATCCGGAGTTGGGTCGCGGGGGCAGCAGCCCAAGTCAAGAGGCCCAGACTTCCCTCTCCTCAGCCACATGTGTATTTGCTTGTATCATTTTCCCCCCCAATTCTCTAAGTGTGTGTGCTGCCTTAGTGAAATTCCCCACTGTGGGATCAATAACGGGGGCAGCAGTAGCTCAGGAGATTAGGCGGGTTGTCGAATAGTCGGAAGGTTGCTGGTTTGATCCTGGCTCCGGACAGAAAATGCTGCTGTTGTGTCCCTGAGCAAGACACTTAACCCACCCTGTCTGCTGGTGGAGGGACTGGTGGCGCCTGTGATCGACAGCCCCGCCTCCGCCACTGTGCCCCAGGACAGCTGTGGCTGCATCTCAGCTCATCGTGTGAAGGGATGGATGAATGATACACTGTAGTGTAAAGCACTTTGGAGTCCTCGGACTCTGAAAGGCACTATATTAATGCGAGTCATTTATCAATAAAATCTATGTTCACATTGCAGGTCTGAGTGATTCATTTAGATCTTTTGATGAGTTAAATGATGTTGGCTACAAGTGCATGACTGAACAACAGACATTGAATGTGCTACTACTAGTTTACCTGTCTAATTATAGATTCACTAGGATAAATACAATAAAGTAGATTCACTAGGATAAATGCAATAAAGTTTATCTCACCAAAAAGGATATTTACTAAAATCACAATGTAACCATAGAAACATTATTTGGTGTGTGTGTGTGTGTGTGTGTGTCTGCTCTGTCTTCTCGATCCCCAGTGAGTCGTGGAGGATGGCTGCTTATGCTGAGCCAGGATCCTCTGGAGGTTTCTTCCTGTTAAAAGGGAGTTTTCCTCTCCACTGTCGCTAAATGCTTGCTTAGTATGAGGATTGCTGTAAAGCAGGAGTGGGGAACCCTGGTCCTTGAGGGCCGGTATCCTGCATGTCTTTGCTCCAACACTTCTGATTCAGTGGTTGATTCACCTGTTTTGCAGCTCATCAAGCTCTGCAGAAGCTTGTTAATCACCTGCTGATTGAAATTAGGTGTGATAATGCAGGGTTGAAACTAAAATATGCTGGATAGTGGCCCTCGATAGACCAGGGTTCCCCACCCCTTCAGTAAAATCACTGACTTTAAGATTTGATGCAATTTGCTGGGTTCCTTATATAGGAAACGTTTATCTGATTGGTTTAATGAACTGACCTGTATTGGAATGTTTACCATGTGAAGTGCCTTGAGACGACTCTTGTCGTGATTTGGCGCTATATAAATAAACTTGAAACTTGGGAAAAAAAAATCAAACTAAACTTGAGTCAAGTAGTTTACTCCTTTCCCACCTCTGCACACACGTATCAAGATATCCAGTCAACCTAAATTATTAACATTACATCTTAAAGTTTTCCATTTAATAGGTACAAAATCTTCCATGATATCTCCTTTATTTTCTTTTACCTTCATTGTTAATGTGCAGATTGTTTCTCCTATCAGACCAGATGCTCCCTTCCTCCCTACCAGTCTGGTTCTGAGCTATTTAGCCTCACACAGCAGGCCTGTGTCTGCTGCCGATCAGAGAAATTTTTTAATGATTCAAGTTTTTATTTTTGATTATGAATAAGGGTTCTTTTACATATTTTCCTTCCTGCTGTTTCCGGATGTGTGAACTACTCCTTCACTATCTGATGAATCCTGGTATTATCATTTTGGAATATGCTCGTTCCATCAGGGAAGTTGGAATAACCTGGTCATTCAGTATATTTAGGTAGTCATCTGACCTCATTCTTGGAGCACATCCTGTTGCTGAACCTAGACCTGACCAACTGCAGCAACCCCAGATCATAGCACCGCCCCCACAGGCTTGTACAGTAGGCACTAGGCATGATGGGTGCATTATTTCATCCGCCTCTCTTCTTACCCTGATGAACCCATCACTAGAACAGGGTCCATCTGGACTCATCAGACCACATGACCTTCCACTAGTCCAATCTTCATGCTCCCTAGCAAAGTAAAGCCTTTTTTTACCAGTTAGCCTCACTGATTAGTGATTTTCTTATGGGTACACAGCTGTTGCAGTCCCTTGAGTTCCCTTCACGTTGTTGGTATGGGAATGCTCTTACTTTCACTGTAAACATAGCCCTGAGTTCTACTGTTGTTTTGAACCAGTTACTTGAGACCTCTACCTTTTTAGTTCAGCTCATTTACCAGCAATGCCATCAGTCCTGCAGAAGAAACCCAATTAATCTGCCTATCTCTTTTATCAAGTGTGAACAAGGCACTAACTCTGGCTTTCTACTCAGTGCGTGAGGGCAATATACAGTTAATAGCCACCATCATAGTCTCTTTTTGTCTCCACTTTGTCTCCACTGGGCACACACCGGTACATTTCAGATGCGTCCCAGAAGTGTAGTGTCATGCCAAGTCTACATTTATGTACTATGCTTCCAGTATGCATCAAGATCAGTAGTTCAAACCTGGCAAGACAGGGAATCAAACACAGAGTATAGTGTGGCTAATTGTGTAAAGCATCTGGCAAATTTCAAAATAAGATCCAAGCGGATTTCCTTTTGCATAACTGTAAAAAACATAACCTCCTTGGTGGAGGTAAAAAAAAGGACAGAAAATGTTGTAGTCTCAGTGGGTCCCCAGTAGAGGCAGCAGAGCTTCCCCTTTACCACTCCGACTTCTTGTACGCATGCGCGTGCGTCAGGACGAAAGAAGCCTCTCCAACATGACGGCGACCATAGACAACAGCAATGCTTCACAGGCGAACAAAAAAAAGCACCTCGGTATCCCCGAAGCAGTGTTTGTGGTGCGTATAACCAGACGCTTCTGACGGTGTTACATGTTTGTAACGGATGTAATGTATATTTGGTGTGACCGGTTTGTCAGCGGCGCAATTCTGACTCAGCTAGGAGGCTAAGTTAGCAGGTGAGCTAACAGAGTGTCCTGCTGTGTGTGCATGTTGGGCGGCTGCTCGCTTCCATCTATGGACATCACTGTCTGCCTGTAATATTCAGCTCACCTGGTGTTTCTGAGGTCCTTCAGCTGGACTTACCTGCCAGAGTCAACTGTGTCTTTAGTTAGCTAGCTAGCTAACTAGCTTGTCCATTACTCAGAACAGTACTAGCATCTTGTCTGACGTGCCCTGTCATAGACAGCATTAACGAGCACAGCTCAGCGATTTTTTTAAATATTACATTGAAAGATTTCCACTTTAATCTGCTAATGATATTAACTTTGCTAATGTTTTGAGATGGTATTAAAAATGTGAGATTTTTGTATAATCTGGCCAATTTATCTTGATTCGATTCTCATTTAAACAGAAAAATAAAGATAGAAAGTAGGCCTGGGACGATAACAGAATTTGTTGGACGATATATTGTCCAACAAATTATTGACGATAAATGATATTATTGTTGACATTATCAAGACCAAAATAACCACTTATGTAATGTTAATATATCATAATAATGCAAGGACACCCATTAAAATGCAACAATTAAACCTTTATTTAACATGGGAATGTCCAGACCCTGAACTTCTAAATAAATAAAACAAACAAAAAATAAATAAATATAAAAGTGCTTTCACTCTTTTAGAAAATATTGCACCAAAAACAATAACGTAGACCCCGTCTCCAAAACAACAAATACAATGGCCTATCCAGTGTCAAGAACCAAACTGCACTTCAATAATAATTGTACATTTCTTAACCTCAATATATTGAGGCTTGATTATTGAGTTCATTTTCAGCCCTAATATGAAGGGAAAATAACACGCATTTGAGTGAACAATAATGTCACAATTAGATCAAAAGTTCAGAATACCATTATGTTTAATGTGTAAATGAATGAAAAATACCAATGACAGACTAAAAGGGTTAAAAATCAAATTATAGATACTTGTAATGCTACCAGATTTGTAGGTGATGTTCTTTGGTTACGATGAGTGGATAAACGGCATCATATTAACAATTTGGGTAATTTATTAATTACTTCAGTGATTTTTCTTCTTGGCAGGAGGAAGGTTTACACCTGGACACATTCTCAGATTACAGCACTTTACATGAGTATAGAAATTATCTCATTTTCTTTTGTCTTTGTCTTTAACACAACAAATGCATTAATGTAATGAGATAAATAGATTTTTTCTTTTATTATCTGTGCATCAAACCATTTTATAGAATACAGTAACTTTTTTTTTTTACCAGTGCCCAGGCGATTTACTTCTGATGCTGTCAAATCAAATTTAAACTGTTCAATCGAAACTTTCTGTGAAAAGTACTTAACTGTTAAATCACACATTTTTTCTCATTTTTAACAGAAAAGCTAAAAGATCATATTTATTTTAAACAAAAGATTATATTATATTTGTATTTATAAAAATGTTTGTAATTTTTTTGGTTTGTTACATTTATTTGTTTAATCTGACACTAATTTAGGGTTTTAATTCTCACTAACCTGTTTTATGGTTTCATTTATTGTGACTTTGAACTTATAGGTATAACAAACGGAAAAGTATTTTAGGAAAGGGTAAGACCTTATTTGTGCTTCCATGTTAAAAACACAAAGGCCAATTCAGAAAAGTGTAATTTCATATTTTGTCCACCAGACGGCGCTGCAAACACATCTCACTGAGACTTTAGACATTTGACTTTGTGGTATTGAAAGTCTCATTTGTGGAGTAGTTATATAGGCCTTTCTGTTTTTTAATCCCTGTTTGCTGTTTTCCAGGAGGATGTCGACTCTTTTATGAAGCTGCCTGGCAACGAGACGGCAGACTCTGCTCTGAGGAAGCTGGATGAGCAGTACCAGAAATATAAGTACATGGAGCTCAACCTGTCCCAGAAGAAACTCCGGTAAAACAGAAATACAAACACTACGAGTTATTCGGGTTACATTAATACGTGCATGAATTGATATGTGTGCACCTGGTAGATCTGTAAAGTAGGAAAGCTGGATGCTTATTTATTTAACTAAAATCATTCTTATTTAATAGGTTGAAAAACCAGATTCCACAGATCACACAGACGCTAGAAATCCTACGACACATGCAGAAGAAAAAGGTGGGTGAAGTTCTGTAAACCAGCTCCATACTGGAAGTGAGTCTTCTCCAGTTCCTCTAGAATGACAACATAGGGATGGGTGAAATAAGCTACCGTAAATCCTCTAATACAGGCCCGGGTCTGTATTTGACTCAAGCTCATCAAGCTCCAGGCCTTTATTGGAAGGAGGACCAGAATTAGAGGCAGGCCTCAATTTCTATTTGAGCAAAATGAACTAATGGTTCGCTGGAGTTTTTGACAATTAGAATTGCGCCCACATTTTCAAAGTTAAAACACATTTCTTTTAACAACGGTAGTTTCTGCTTCAGCCCTCTCCCCCCTCCCCCTGCGCAGCGGCCGCAAACTCACTGATGCGCCTGCAGCCTCTCGGAGTTCCTGCTGCTCTAAACATTAAAATAATTATTTTCTGTTCCTCACTTCTGATTACCTTCAATGGTGTCTGTTTGTTGCAACCACCAGGTACAAAAACTAACTTGTTTTTATTTGACTATTTTTCTGTCCTGTCTGTTTATTATCTTCCTGCATCTCCTCTCAATCCTAAAGAGAAACTGCTACCTGGGTTCATATATATTCACCTTATGAGTTACCTTTGAACTGCAGTTCTAAAAGATCTACCGACCACAAAAACAGCGGAGTGCTCGCTGCTTGCCGACCGCATCAGTGATCGGTGCGTCACAGAGGACAAAACAGGTGATGCACCCCGATCCACAGCAGCTAAAAGCATCAGGCACAAATAAAAGAATAAAAGACAGAAAACATAAAAGGAAATGAGCCGACATGAACGATTGCGTGTTAAATTAGTTTTTGAGGTGGCGACACTTGATTTGATAATGTTACTGTAGCCGTGCTCAGGACGCAGATGTCTGGAGTGCGTCAACAATCAGAGCTTTGCATGTGCAAGCTGGTTAAGGTTAGGATGGGGTGAGGGGAAGGTTAAATTGCAAGAGGGTAAACGTCACAATTTGGTTAAATGTCCGTTTTACGGCGGGTGTCAGTACCGACGCTCTGGCACAGCGTGTTGCCTCCCGACACGCAGGAGCTTGTTAATTGAATACAGGCCAATATTAGAGGATTTACGGTATGCTTCTTTCTTTGCCTTTTTGAACTATTTTAGTCTGTGTTCTTTGATATAAGCTGGAAAGTCATATATGGCGAGGCCATTTAATATATACAGTTGTGGTCAGAAGTTTACATACACTTGTAAAAAATATAATATAATGGCTCTACTGAGTGTCCCGTTATTTCTAAAACTCTGATTTTTCTCTGATAGAGTGATTGGAACAGATACTTCTTTGTCACAAAAAACATTCATGAAGTTTGGTTCTTTAATGTCTTTATTATGGGTTAACAGAGAAAAGTGATCACATTTGCTGGGTAACAAATATACATACAGCAACATGATCTAGCAATTTTGTTGACTTAGAAACGTGTCAGTGAACTGAGCTTCATAGCATGGCCTCTTAACTTCTTGTGAGTGATTATGAGTGACTACAGCTGGTGACTTCTCTTAGGCCAGGTAAATAGGGCTCATTGGATACAAACGCCCACAAACGCTACAATGGGAAAGTCAAAGGAGCTCAGCATGGATCTGAAAAAGCGAATTATTGACTTGAACAAGTCAGGAAAGTCACTTGGGGCCATTTCAAAGCAGCTGCAGGTCCCAAGAGCAACAGTGCAAACAATTGTTTGTAAGTATAAGGTGCATGGCACTGTTTCATCACTGCCAAGATCAGGAAGAAAACACAAGCTATCACCTGCTGCTGAGAGAAAATTGGTCAGGAGGGTAAAGAGTGAACCAAGAATCACCAAAAAGCAGATCTGCCAAGAATTAGAAGCTGCTGGAACACAGGTGTCATTGTCCACAGTCAAACGTGTTTTGCATCTCCATGGACTGAGAGGCTGCCGTGCAAGAAGGAAGCCCTTGCTCCAAAAGCGGCACCTTAAGGCTCGACTGAAGTTTGCTGCTGATCACATGGACAAAGATAAGACCTTCTGGAGGAAAGTTCTGAGGTCAGATGAAACAAAAATCGAGCTTTTTGGCCACAATGCCCAGCAATATGTTTGAAGGAGAAAAGGTGAGGCCTTTAACCCCAAGAACACCATGCCTACAGTCAAGCATGGTGGTGGGAATATTATGCTGTGGGGCTGTTTTGCTGCCAGTGGAACTGGTGCTTTACAGAGAGTAAATGGGATAATGAAGAAGGAGGATTACCTTCACATTCTTCAACATAACCTAAAATCATCAGCACGAAGGTTGGGTCTTGGGCGCAGTTGGGTGTTCCAACAGGACAATGACCCCAAACACACATCAAAAGTGGTAAAGGAATGGCTAAATCAGGCTAGAATAAGGGTTTTAGAATGGCCTTCCCAAAGTCCTGACTTAAACCCCATTGAAAACATGTGGACAGTGCTGAAGAAACAAGTCCATGTCAGAAAGCCATCAAATTTAACTGAACTTCACCAATTCTGTCAAGAGGAGTGGTCAAATATTCAACCAGAAGCTTGCCAGAAGCTTGTGGATGGCTACCAAAAGCGCCTAATTGAAGTGAAAATGGCTAAGGGACATGTAACCAAATATTAGCACTGCTGTATGTATATTTGTTACCCAGCAAATGTGATCACTTTTCTCTGTTAACCCATAATAAAGACATTAAAGAACCAAACTTCATGAATGTTTTTTGTGACAAAGAAGTATCTGTTCCAATCACTCTATCAGAGAAAAATCAGAGTTTTAGAAATAACGGGTCACTCAGTAGAGCCATTATATTATATTTTTTATAAGTGTATGTAAACTTCTGACCACAACTGTATATATATATATTTTTTTTTTTACTTACTTTTGTTGTTTTCTTTCTTTTGTGAATTCAATATTATTTAACCTCGTTTGAGAAGAAAAAAATCATGAAGTAGCTGATTCTACCCCTAGACCTAAAGGACATAGGTAATGGAATTCCTTTTTTAATTTATTGTGGTACCTTTTGTTCCCACAGGAAACTACGGAGCGAATGGAAACACACTTCCTCCTAGCTGACAACGTTTACTGTAAGGCCTCGGTGCCGCCCACTGACAAAGTTTCTTTATGGTTAGGGGTGAGTAGCACTCAGGATGATGTCTGGTTTTATGGTCTTTGACTCGATTACAGTGGTGATCTGGTGTTTGCAGCTTCTGAAGTGATTAAAATAACCTCAAAGGGACAACCACACAACAGATTCCAGCTTATTGAGCTGTTCGGGATTGTTGTTCATGTTTATGACCCAGATGGACTCACATCTGACTCTTGAGCACTTTAGTCTACAGAGAAGTTCATGATCCACTCAATGGCTGTAATGAACCCAAACCATCAGTCTTCCACCACCGTGCTGACAGCTGATACCACGGCTTGTTCTAATGTGCTGTGGTTGGTTTTATCCAGACAGTGCTATGCATTATGGCTAAACATGTCTGCTTTGGTTTCGTCCATCCCTTAGGCCACTTTTCTCTCTGATGTTAACACACACCTGTATGCTCCAGACCAATACACCTTTGTAGAGGTGAAGATGATCATTGAATCAATATTTTCCACTTTCCGTTGGACTTCATTTGACTTTATTATAGTTTATTAAATAATGATGTAGAATCTGTTGTGTTTTGTAGACTTTGGGTTAGATTAAAACCTGATCACTCATTATATCCTGGAACATTAAAGAGGACCAAAACGTTTCTCCCCTAAAGGCTAACGTCATGTTGGAGTACGACATCAACGAAGCCCAGGCCCTCCTGGAGAAGAACTTGTCCACAGCATCTCGTAACCTGGAGACCCTCGAGGAAGATCTGGATTTCCTGCGAGACCAGTTCACCACCACTGAAGTCAGTATCCTTCCACTGAGTGGTCCACTCTCACTGATCTGTGTCTATGGATGGCCACATGGATCAGAGGGAAGATTTGGAGACTTTGACCAAAAGAGAAATGACCTTTTCAGATCAGAAATAATTCCATTAGCTATCCTTTTATTAGGAAGGAGGTCACTGGTGACACTGGTTCAGTAAGTCACAGGACATGCAGTGTTTTTATAGTCATGAACAACATGGTGGGAATTAAAGTAAGTGAAGAAATGTGATCATTGTTATTGCATATTAGAACAGCCTAGATGGTAACATCTGTTCCAGCTGGGTGTTGTTTCAGTCATTAACTCTTTGTTTGGTTTGAGTTGAAGTGACTCAGCAGATCCACAGGAAACTTAAACGGCTCCAGAGGTTGCGAAGGTCAACATTTATTTAGTTCAGACTGGGAAATTATAGCCACTTTTACCCTGTTTACCAAAAGATTCAGCAAGTTTTAAACGATAACTCATTTTATCTAAGGTCACATGAGGTCACACAGGCTGTTTTTGTAATAGTGCAGTACACATTGCATACGTCCTCGTCAAATCAGCGTCTTTTTCTCAACAGTCTTTCAATGTACATATACATATTATAATACATCATTAGAAAGCTGGGAGTCTTGTGATTCCAATGATAAATGGTCGTCGTCGTCTTCCTCCGCTTATCCGGGTCACGGGGGCAGCATCCCAACTAGGGAGCTCTAGACCGTCCTCTCCCCGGCCTTCTCCATCAGCTCCTCCGGCAGGACCTCAAGACGTTCCCGGACCAGATTGGAGATGTAACCTCTCCAACGTGTCCTGGGTCGACCCGGGGGCCTCCTGCCGGCAGGACATGCCCGAAACACCTCCCCGGGGAGGCGTCCAGGAGGTATCCTGACCAGATGCCCAAACCACCTCAACTTGCTCCTTTCGATCCGGAGGAGCAGCGGTTTTACTCCGAGTCCCTCCCGAATGTCCGAGCTCCTCACCCTATCTCTAAGGCTGAGCCTGGCCACCCTACGGAGGAAACTCATTTCGGCCGCTTGTATCCGCGATCTCGTTCTTTCGGTCATTACCCAAAGCTCATGACCATAGGTGAGGATTGGGACGTAGATTGACCGGTAAATCGAGAGCCTGGCTTTGTGGCTCAGCTCCCTCTTCACCACGACAGATCGGCTCAGCATCCGCATCACTGCAGACGCCGAACCAATCCGCCTGTCGATCTCCCGATCCCTCCTACCCTCACTCGTGAACAAGACCCCGAGATACTTAAATTCCTCCACTTGAGGTAGGACCTCTCCCCCGACCCGGAGGTGGCAAGCCACCCTTTTCCGGTCGATAAATGGTGTTTACAGATTTAACCAGTTCTGTAGACACAATAACAGCTTGTTACACCACTCAGAAATTCTAAATATGGTGCTTACAGTTCAAAGCCTCTTCACTGACAGAATAGAGCAATCTTGAACAGTTATTTGTACATCCACAACGGTCCAGTAGAAGTACTCCAATAAAATAATTAGCTCACAACAAGTCTTTCATCCACAAAAGAATAAATAAATAAAGCTAACGGATCTCTGAAACCCTACAGAATTTCTTTCAGATGCGCCTTTCTAACCATAAACCCCGTAGGCACCTTCATAATAACTTCAAACTTTCTATCATTCATTGGGTGGATGGTTGCCCCCTCTCCTGGGGCAAAATCTTCAGTGATTGGCTGGTGGGTCAGAAGTGCCACACCCCTTCTCACATGTGTAGTTTAAACCAATTGCAACTAAGTATGTTGATGAATTGGCAAATAGCCGATGAAATCCAGAAAACGACTACCTCTAACATAACCAGCCCCACGGGCTCGGCTTTGGCAAATGTGGTAAGGCCGATGGCGATTGTTGGATTGTTGTGTGTCAGGCCCACAAACGTCACCCATAGTCGTTTTGGACCGTTTGAAAACATTTAACGTATCACCCATCCTTATCGACCGGTTTTGATTTTTAGTGCATCTCTGCTACTTACCGACATCATTCATCAAATTACTGATGTGTGTCTTCTGACTTACATTAAGATTAGTACTGCAGTCTGGAATAAAAGCAGACATTTTGCTTTTAGATCAAATGTAGCACCCCTGAGGTTTGAAAAAAGGTGAAACCTTGGAGTTGGTGGGCGTGTCTACCTTCCCTTTGAGGTTCCAACAAAAGTACATTTAAAGCTAGTGGTTCAGAAACCTGCTGACATGGCCCTTTAGGTTGATTTTTTTTTTGTGTTTTATATCACGGTGAACCTTCTGGTTTCTCTTAACTCGCTGCTCCCCTCAGACATGGCACGGGTCTACAACTGGGACGTGAAGAGGAGGAGCAAAGAAAACCTCCTGAAGTCTGCAGACAAGTCTTAATCTAACAGGACTGCCCCCCTCTGCTAACGTCCTTTCTCATCATTAAAACTAGAAACCATCCCTAAGTGTGTTCGCCCCAGAGCTCAGCTCAACGAGGACACGTCTGAAACAGTTCTGCTCATTTTGAATGTTCAAACTTTTAGATTTTTCTGTTTTAGCGTCAAACAAAGTTAGACATCAAGTCCATGTCACAGTTCAGTCTAGATTTTCAACATCTCCTCCATTGAGCTGAGCTCAGACTTCCACCACTACTGTTTTCTGTTGATTTGTTACTTTTAAACTATTTTTTCAAGTAAAAACTAACAAACAAAAAAAATCAGCAAGGTAGTTTTGTATTTTTTTAATGATTCAGGTTTTTATTTTTGATTATGAATGAGGGTTCTTTTGCATCTTTTCCTTCCTGCTGTTTCCGGTTCTTCTTTGTCTCACACAGCAACACTTAGACGACGGTGTTATGGAAAGCAAACAGTTGACAGTAGTGTGATGGTTGTCAACACAGAATAAACTAGTTTTGGCTTGTGGCTTTTCTTTGTCACTTTCTGAGACTTGCTGGGGTTTCACATGATCAACAGTGGTCCTTCAGAGCTGCTGCTTCTCCGTCCTTTAGCCTTCTACACTTCACCACATCTTTCTCTTCTGTCTGTATTTATTTGTCTTTATTCATTAAAGAGTGAAGTTAAAAAAGGAACTTCTAGATGAAGCAATGAGACCTGGTGTGGTTTATCTGAACAGATAAAAGGTATGCAACAGTGTTTGTTCACAAGACTCAGAAATTCTGGTTCTGATGAGGTAAACACCGTCTCTTCTCTCATGGGTCAGGTTATCTTGTACATATACAACTGAAATATTTACTTTTTCATATTTGTACTGAGATAAACTATGTGAACAGATTAATACATACACTGCCCAGTCCCACAAAAAGTCGTTACCAAAAAAGGGAGATACAGTAATATTTCATTGGACCGCCTTTAGCTTTGACAACAACACTCATTCGCTGTGGCGTTGTTTCAATAAGCTTCTGCAATGTGACCAGATTTATTTCCATCCAGTGTTGCATTCATGTTTCACCAAGATCTCGCATTGATTATGGTAGAGGCCGACTGCTGCACAAAGCCTTCTCCAGCACATCCCAAAGATTCTCAATGGGGTTAGGGTCTGGATTCTGTGGTGGCCAATCCATGTGTGAAAATGATGTTTCAAGCTCGCTGAACTACTTCACTATCTGATGAATCCTGGTATCATTTTGGAATATGCTCGTTCCATCAGGGAAGTTGGAGTAACCTGGTCATTCAGTATATTTAGGTAGTCATCTGACCTCATTCTTGGAGCACATCCTGTTGCTGAACCTGACCAACTGCAGCAACCCCAGATCATAGCCCCCACAGGCTTGTACAGTAGGCACTAGGCATGATGGGTGCATTATTTCATCCGCCTCTCTTCTTACCCTGATGAACCCATCACTCTAGAACAGGGTCCATCCTGACTCATCAGACCACATGACCTTCCACTAGTCCAATCTTCATGCTCCCTAGCAAAGTAAAGCCTTTTTTTACCAGTTAGCCTCACTGATTAGTGGTTTTCTTATGGGTACACAGCTGTTACAGTCCCATGAGTTCCCTTCACATTGTTGGTATGGGAATGCTCTTACTTTCACTGTTAAACGTAGCGTTAGTTCTACTCTTGTTTTGATCCAGTTACTTGAGACGTCTACCTTTTTAGTTCAGCTCATTTACCAGCAATGCCCTCAGTCCTGCAGAAGAAACCCAATTAATCTGCCTATCTCTTTTATCAAGTGTGAACAAGGCACTAACTCTGGCTTTCTACTCAGTGCGTGAGGGCAACATACAGTTAATAGCCACCATCATAGTCAATAACTTTGTCTCCACCGGGCACACACCGGTACATTTCAGATGCGTCCCAGAAGTGTGGTTAGTTAGAGGTCTAGTCAGTGTTTAAACTGAGGCAGAAATCTCATGATTTGTCTAGCATAGAATAGCTTAAGTATGACTCAAAGCACTGATGATTAGACAAAATGACGGGGTTATGTAGCATTATGACTTTAATTCCACATCATTTGGGTAGGAATACATTTTGAAATATAGTCATCAAATGAAGACAGTTGAGAAGTTTGAAACTGGAGACTAAAATAGTTCTCACCCGCAAGTCTGCTCTTGTTTGACATTGTGCACCGTACGCTGTTGTTACATCCATTTATAGAGTTGGGGTTCATAAAACTATGAATAAAATTTGTGTATGACATTACATTTGCACAGATATAAAAGCAAAGTAAACTACTTGCATTAAATGATGTACACATGTAGTGTGCCTTTGCATGTATTGGATAGTTAGGTGGTCAACTGAACCTAGTCTTACTTTGTGGAGCAGATGAAAAGTCATTTACAATGCGATGAACATCGTCCACTGAAATTCTCGGTAAATTTCCAAGGCATCTTGAGACGTACAGTTCGCTGCAGGCTCCATCCATTTTGATGGCGCTGTGGCGACAACCGGAACCGTAGGTGCAAGCCAAGGTTTATAAACCGGAAGTAGCAATTGCTAACGTGCACAGGGTCTACTGGGTTCTCTTCCTTCAGTCCGACACGTGTTTTGTTGGTTATGTGAAGTCCGTTCATCAAGCATCCCTTTATTTGATGTGGCCCATCTCTTTATAATAGTCAAAATGTTTTTTTAATTAATTTATTTTTTACTTCCTTTCTTCAAATGCCCCAACCGAGGCTTTACACTTCAGATTTGGCTGTTAAGGTGCTCTCCAGGTCCACCCTTTCCAACTTATGTCCAGTAGAAGTTAGAAGTTTAGTTAGTTGAGCCCACAAGTCCTCTGTGTCCAGTTAATCTGTACACTTCTCTACCAGCTGTAAGAGTCCTTTACGGTGACAGTGTTGTTTTAGTGACGTTTAACAGAACAACAGACATCGACTGGAGGTCTAAATTGCTCCAAAGAGAAGTAAAGTGACAAGAGAATCACAGGTCCAGTAAGGAGTAGTTGTGAAATTTAGGATTACTCTGTTGAGTTTGGGAATGTGGAGTAAGACCACTTTACCAGAAGGAGTTTAATCTAAGGACACTGATTTTGTTTTTCTTCGTACAAAAAATGGATGGGATTGCCTTCTGTGATCACAACATTGCATATAGTGTAGATGGGAGAAGATAAAATAGAGTTTTATACTTAAATGTAGAACAAAAATAGACCCTATTTCTAAGGCCTTTTGTGAGTCTTTCGAGGAATGTGAACCCGTAACAAAACCAAAGAGAGCCCCCAAATGAAAATAATCCTAAGAAATAAACAGAAATGGACACGATACCTCATCCAAGTTTACCGTGTCTGTCTATACCTTAAACCGGCAATTTGAAACTCCTCACATGTCCATATTTGCGTCCATTCTGAAGGAAGAACAACCAAAGGGGTTACCGACAGTCTCAGCCAGCAAGTCAACACGTCAGTCTGTCTGCCTCACCACCCCTTTCAATATTCCACCCCTCTATAAACCTTCTCTCTCCATCGTTTGGCCAGTTTCCAGATCAGCAGAGACAACGACGATCACTCTTGGTCACCTCCTCTGATGAATGGACCACATTAGGGACAAAGCCACTCTTCACACCTTCCCAGCCCTCCTGGATCGTGATGTCGCCTGACCTCACCAAGGCAAAGATCTCTCTGGTCAGCTCGGTGAAGGCGTGCTCCACGTTGATGGCGTCGCGGGCCGACGTCTCGATGTAGCGCATCCCATATGCCCCTGCCAGCTTCTCTGCTTCTTGCCGAGTCACCTGGAAGATGAAATGCGTTAGGGTGAATTCCTCGATGTGATGATAGAATTATCAAACATGGAATGACAGATTTGATTCCAGTAGACTGAATTTCTACAATCATCTGAAACTGAAGTAGCATCATTTAAGGATTTGAGCTGTCAAGAAAGCAGCTGCTAAGTGAGAACTCTGAGAAGTTAATTACTAAGATCAGAATAAAATAACTGCTACCCCAGCTGTTTTTTGCAATGCCATTCTGAATTTCTTTTCTCCCTCCTCCAGCTTCCCCATAAAAATTAAATGGCGGTCATGTCTCACCTCTGAACAGACAAGCACTGATCACAATGTAAAGTGAACACACCTGGCGCTGTGCCTCCAGGTCACACTTGTGACCCACCAACAGGAAAACGATACTGTGAGGCTGGACGTGGCTGCGGGCCTCCTCCAGCCAGTCGTGGACATTCTGAAAGGAGCGGCGGTTGGTAATGTCGAAGAGAAGGAGTCCGCCCACAGAGTTACGGTAGTAAGCTCTGGTAATAGATCTACACAGGAAGTAAAAGAAAGGCAATTAAAGGTCTCTGAATACAAAAGGAATTGCATTAAAGGGTTTATCATCATCATCCACTGCTGAAAGCCTCAATGCGGGTCGATATTACAGATTCTGAGTTGAAATTGGAGGTCATGCCCAACACAGTTTGAGCACTAACTGTACAAGACCTTTTGTAACCAACCCCGTTCGTTAGCAAAATATCTCGTCAACCTAGTTCAAGATGGCTGCCACCAAACTGCAGTGATGTAAACCTGCATTGGTTGCACTGCTTAACCTGGTTACAGAGCACAACAATTAGCCAGTCCTACTGGTTTTCTGACCTCCCACATCTATCTTCCAAAACCATGCGACTAATGAAGGATAAACTAGATAATGATTCATTTTCAGAGCCAGGAAAGATGTGATTCAGACAAGAAGGGAGAACGTTGACTGAAGTGAGAAATCCGAGGTGTGAAAGATGCAACAAGAAAGTTACGGTTACGGTTTTGATTTCATGTAAAAATCAGCCGTTGGAAGGAGCATGAGTGCAAACGGATGCCTTGTTTTTCTCGTGAGGACACACACACACACACACACACACAGTGACAGTGGGAACAAAATGGGTACGATGATTACAGGTTATAGTTCAGGAAGAGGAAGAGAGACTGTGTCACACAAGGATGGAGGGATGATTAGTCAGCAAAGAGGATACAGAAAGAAGGAGTAGACTGAGAAAAATAGGCCTGTCAAGTGATTCATTCAAGTTGGACATTTACTTCATATAAACTGGTGTATTTATGGAAGTAGATGAAACAGCAGTAACTGAAAGATCTGCGTCACTGGAGGAGTGAAGAAGGGAATGAGATGAGAACTGTATTGCAAAAAAAAAAAAAAACCAAATTACCAAGAAACAGAGATTAAAACCTAAAATCAACATCTAGCCCTAGGATTAAAGAAGCACTTATTGCTCTTTCATACCCAAATTATAAACTGGACCATTGTGTTTCTTTTTGATTAGAAAAATTAGGTCACCGTCGTTAGGTGTTAGCATTTATCTGACATTTCTAATGAATGGTCATTGGGAATGTTAAAGACATACCTCTACCCTGGTGGTCTGTTTTGGCCCTTGTTCCTCTACTGGAAAAACACTACAGCTGCGTTTCTGCTATACCTTACCATACCATACTGTAGCGTCTAGCAATGGTCAGTTTAGGTACAGCCTGACCTTTTACCATCTATTCAACATCTGGTCAGAAAGGAGACACAACATAGCATGTGTTCCCTTTAATGAGCAGGCTTCACACCAGCTGGGATTCAGACTCTGCAAATCTGAATCAGAAACAATAACTTTCTCTCCCAATGTCTCATCTGCCTGCTTCCAGGAGACTCCAACTCCAGCTCGAATCAATTGCTAAATTCAAGAATCATTTACTAATTCAATATAAACTCCTTCTATGACCTATAATCTAGATAAATCATTAAATAAACATTTGTTTATTATTACTTATGATAATTATAATTTAATGAAATGCTTCAATAATCTGTGCACACTGAATGGATTTATATTATGTGTGTCTAATAGAACCTGCAATGTGTTCACCATGTTTTGACGACAAGGTCCTCACACCTGCTCTGCACAATAACAAGTACGGCTAAGTTAAATCGATTACACATAGCTAACCTTTTACCCAGATCAGAGCCTCCATATCAAAGAGGGTGTGTTTCTGAGTTGCCTTGGTAACATCTCCAAACTTGTCAGCCTCTGACTGGCTGTCCAAACCATAACAACTAAACTTTAAAACTAAAACATGCTGAGAGATTCGTTAGTTCTAGAGAATCGCTCAGACCCGCCATCTGTAGCAAAAACTCTGCAACCATCAAAGATTTTGACTCGTCGTCAAAATTCTTTTTGCACCTACGAAGCTGAGTAAGCACTTAATGCTGAACAAAGCTGATATTGTTAAACTCCTTAAGAGTTATTCCTGAGACGCAAGCTGATTCCAACCTGTGTTGCCTGTTGACAACTCTGGACTGGAGAAGTCGATTTCCTCGCGATCAATCTACAGGACCTGGGCGCCCCGAGGTCATCTGACCTCTCTGACCTCCGGATCCGTGACGAGGGTCATCAAAGGGTGAGGTAGAACACAGAGAGATTGCGTCTGAATGTATTTTTGATGATAACCACTTTATAGCTTAGAGCAAACAAAATTCTTTTCACCAGAACTCCGCTTATTTTGATAAGGAAGCTCTGACTGATATCGCATTCACACATAGGTTCCTTCAGCACTTTTAGTTACATCCACTCACAGCAAATGCTTAATTCATTAGTCATGTTTAAAATAGTTTGTAAAATAATTTTTTTTTATAAACTTGACTCTTTCTTGAAGTAACAAGAAGTGTGGTTGATCACTGAAAAAGCAAAGAACCTAGATCTTCTGAATTAAATCCTAGAATCTTCTGATTAATTACAATAAAACCCTAGCAGGTTAACACTTTATATTTATATTGAATATTACATCTTTATGGTCATAACAGATAAAATCATCAATTTGCCTCCGCTACAATACTATACCATGCCAAGTTATTTATAAAGCACACTTTCAAAATAGCATGGCAGCTAACCAAAGTGCTGTACATAAAAGAGCCAAATGCTTGAACAAATCAACAAAACACAATGAAAGCATGAAAATCAGGTAAAATACATAAAAACATAGCATAAATAATCAAGGATAAAAATTCCTACTCAAAACAACAGAATAAGAGAAAAGTCAACAGCGCTATCAAAAATAAAGATAATGCAACAAATGATAAAAACCATTAGACATGGCACAAACAAAACCAAAAAAGCTACAAGATGGTGTGAGGTGTTAAAAGTGAGCTACTGAATCATAAAAACTAAATTAAGAAAAATACAGGAGTTTCAGGAAATGTCTGGGAGGGCAGAAGGTGATGGGGTAGATATGATGGCTTGGGCCTCTCAGCCCACCATCTCCATACAAAGTTTGCCCTTTCAGGACTTTCAGGACTCTCTCGGCAGTGAGTGACATTACTGATCAGTCTTAAAGACGTCTACAGAAATGAATAAGAACAAAGTTGTCTTACTCTGTCAAAGTACCCCTAACTGGGGATGAGAAGAGCAGCTGTATGAAGCAGCAGTCAATGACCAAAAAAAAAAAAAAAGCCATTGTTGTTACGAAGCTCTACAGGAGCCCACAAAGAGGCATAAACTGTTGCGTTGTGGAGAGATGTCTGCTGCATTTTTTTAGTTTTGGGAGTTTAGAAATGGCGATATTAAAAAGCATCATGAATACTGTTACGTTTCTTGTCCATCCATTCTGCTTTGTCAGCATGGGTCCTGGAAAATGGTTGTTTCAAGCCGGCCGGTGAAAAGGAAACATTTATTGTGAAGGTTTGGTAAAATTAACCAAAGGTTTCGATAACAGAAACAGGACTAGGAGTTGAGAACTGGTCCACAGGAACTATCCTAGTTCCAGGACAGGGTAACCTGAGATAAAGAGTCCAAATTCAAGAACAGCACCCTTGTAAGGATCAGTCTTGCTCGCGCTAAACGGGCCGTGTCCTTCGTTTACCTGAAGTGAGTGCCCCCCCCCCCTCTCAGTCAGCATATGTCCTGTCTCCTAGCAACCGTGATGTTGCTCAGAAGTTAAAACTAAACTTAGCTGTGGTCCATGAATAAATACCAGACCCCCATAAAGGCTTCTTTATGAGGATCTTTCTTATTTTAATCGAAAAATAATATATTTAAAAAAAAAACTATGCAAATGACGAAGGCACCACTTTAAGAGCTTAATGTTTGCTCCATATACTTTGATCCTCTTCCAGTTTATCAGCCTTTACTACAACAACCAAAACCCACCGCTGTGCTTTAAACATCATGGTGTAAATCAGCTTCTGACATCACAAGTTTTCCTTAGAATATTTTCTCCATAACTCCTTTATCGTTCAGAATATGTCACATTGTTTTACGGACATAGATGGAAAACAGAACGATTAGGCACTGCTTCTTGGTATCTTTTTCTAACAAAGGTCTTAAATAGCTCTTTGTTATTTTATATTTCAATCAGAAAACGTTTGCCTTCTGATCTTAGAGGGATGTGTCAGTGTTGCTATGGAAACAGTCATACTTTCCAGCAGGTGAGAGCAGGCTCCCTCTGTCAGGATGATGAGTGTGTGAGCACTAGGGCTGCAACAAACGATTATTTGGATAATCGATTAATCGGATGGGGTCTCGACACGATTAATCGATTAATCGGATTACATGGGGAAATTTTTAAAAACTGCTAGGGAAACGTTATTTCTCTCCTTCCTTCACTTTATTTAACACAACATTATTAGAAAACAGTTCAATAGCAGAAAAACAACATGCCATCATCTAAATTGTCTTATAAGGTGTATAGACAGAGACCCTAAGCTACATCTATCTGTGATCTAAAATGCTTGGTCCAAGTTAAACAGCTTAAGGGCAATTCTCATCTGTTTTGTTTGATCTCATCTGTTAACATTTATTTTAAATGTAATTAAACATAGGCTGTGAATTAATCAAAATTGATCACTATTTCCAAAACTGACTGAAAAAATACCAAATAAAACAAAAGTAAATGAATGCCATCCTCCTTGCGATGATGCCCTGGGCAACTGCCATAAAGTCACATCAAGAAATGCTGCTCATCATTCCAATGATCCCAAATAGACTCACATTAGGCCACATGAAAGCAACTGAACCCAAAAATATATTAACCAGTATATAACTGCACTCTCACACAACACGCCTGCAGCAACAGTTAGGACTCCTCCCTCCCTTTTAAAAGCATTTTTGCTTCTGAGGACATTGTGGTTGTAAAACCACATGCTAGTAGTCTGGCCCCGGTGTGATCAACCAGTTTCTGCGGGAATGTGACGGCGGAACCAGGGCCAGATTAACACTTTGTTGTACCCTGGGCAACAATATTCAAGGGCTCCATCATCACGACCCAAGGATCACCATAATGTGGTCACATACAGAATATTTTACTGTAATATGCAGTAAATATACTCAATACTTGAATGCCTGACAACATGTAACCCGCCCAGAGTAACCTTTGACCCACCTCGTGTGGACTGACCAATGAGGAGAGGGTCTTAACTTGAGGCCCTCTCTTCATTGGTCAGTCTGCATGAGACTGACTCTCAACTGACATTCAGTCGTAGGCAGCGAAGCGTCTCTGTGCAGTGCAAAAGCCCGGGTGGACAGTTTGTTTAATGTAGGGTGACCATATTTCCATTTCCAAACAAGAGGACAGGGGATCTGTGCCTATGACATCACACTATGGCAACGCCACACAAACCACGTTGGGACCCATTTTTTGTAAGAACTAAATTAATATCAGATTCTGCCAATTAAAGGGCTCTAAAACAATTCATATGTAAATATTTTGCATATTTAATGCAAAATCTAATTTTTCTGCTTTAGTGCTGCAACAAGGTTTTATTAATAATAAATTATTATACCTTTTGTTTTACTACAGCATCGGTAAGCTTCCTGTGCACAGATGATTAAGGATGCTTGTTTCAGCTGTGAGATTAGACGATACGATCAATGAAAAAATAAGTTGTCACACACTCCATGGAAACTTTCATAGAATCCACAAATAGTGGCTTTCAAATGATTTTGTTACTTTTAGCAGGTTTAGAAAAGCAGCAGATGAGACAGCATGTCTGATAATTTAGTTTTTCATCTGATAATATTAGAACATGTCAGTAATGTCTGAGGGGCTTTTATAAACACCATATAACTAACACTACTGGAGAGGGCATGAATTACACTGAGGCTTCTGGGGAGCCCAGTTATGGGGGGGGGGGGGGGGATTTTGCCTTGGCCCCCAAAATGTCTTGAAACGGCCCTGGGTGTGTGACTGAGTTTTGAAGGTGATCTGAATTGTATCAGATGTATAAATATGACATGTGTATAACTTATTGTTTTTTACTGGTAAAAACGTGTCGTGGAGATAAATCTACCTACATTTGACTTTTCAACACTTTGTTTTGTTTTCTTGTTTTTATTTAACTATTTTCCTGTCCTGTCTGTCTCTCATCTTCCTGCATCTCCTCTTAATTCTCCAGAAAATCTGTTGCCTGGATTCTTACCTTTTCACCTCATCAGTTACTTTTGAGCAGATCAAAGGGATCTCCTGACCGAAAAGCGCAGAGCGCGTTTTCGATGCTGCGTGAGGTGACATCACCACAGCAGAGGTGATGAGCTCCACAGTAGCGCGCTTCAGGCACAAATAAGACAGAAAATAGAGAATATGTGCGGACATGAACGATCGTGTGCTAATTATAGTTTTTTGGTTGCGCCACTTTGAGAATGGACCGTGCGCTGGAAGCAGCTGCCTGGATCGCTGCGCGACAATGCGGAACCGGTTCGCAGCAGCGCAAGTCTGCCGGCTCTCCCTCGCGCTGATCTGCCGGTACCGGCTCTCCCTCACGCTGATCTGCGGCTCTCCCTCGCGCTGATCTGCCGGCTCTCCCTCGCGCTGATCTGACTTGCTCTGGTCTGCGCGCAACGGCGGGCAGGAAGGGGGGGGGGGGGGGCGCTTTTGGAAGAGTTGTGCGACACAACGAATCGATGACGCAATTCGTTGCCAACGCTTTTAGTAATCGATTTTCATCGAATTTATCGATTCGTTGTTGCAGCCCTAGTGAGCACATGTGTGAAAGTCGTGTTTCAGTCATCTGTTATCAAAGGAAACTAAAACCACCAACTGCTTGAAATTAACAAACAAAACAATGAACGAGCTGATGATAAAACCATTTGTTCAAAGGGGTTCTAGAATTCAAATCTTCTTTTATCTTACTGTTGAATAAAGGCAGCTAGGGCTGTCACATGTACCAAACCAGAAATGTCCACGCTGTGTCCGACCAGCTTTACACTCTAATTAGTAACACTGTGAAGGCCACAGAGAAACAGTCTGGGAAAAGCTGCAATAACACATCACCGGAGCTGTGGCCAGCATGTCCCAAACTACTTCAGCATCAGCAATATGTAAATGTAGTCGTGGTGATACTAGCCACAGACTACCGCTGTCCTCAGCCACTGCTAACGTTCTGGTTCAAACACGGTTCAAAGCTTGCCTGTTCAGTTATGTAGATAAAGTACACAACTGCAGAGTTTCCAGCTTCAGGCAGTGTCACTGGCTCATCAGGGTAAAGCTAATTTAATATTCATGTCCTGCCCGAGTGGGCGGGGCAAACCAGTCTTTCTATTGTAGAGATTGGGATTATGTTCGGCCATTTATCAGGGCTACTTGGTCATTTTGAGCCCCCAGGACATACCCTATGCTATATAAAGCTCAAAGAACAGTTTCCAGTTTTTTTGTTTTAAAACCCCAGAGTAACTGGAGCAGTGAGTCGTAAAGAAGCCTCAAACTAAACTTTAAACCGACTGAGTTGTAGTTATTTTTGTGTTTGCTAATGTTACTTGGCTGCAGCTTGACCCAACAGTTAACTCCAAAGTTTTAAACGTAGATTAGACATCAACAGTTAGCACCCAGACACTGCTGAAGCACTCAGGAAATGATATTTGGCTCAGACTGGAAGGTGTAGCACACAGATTTTAGATGATTTCGACCAATAGAAACAATCTGGACATGTTTGTCTCTACCCACTGCAAATCAAACAACATCACAGAACAGCTGTCCACAGATGTTTGGGTTGCTCCTCTCACCTGAAGCGCTCCTGGCCCGCTGTGTCCCAGATCTGCAGCTTGATCCTCTTTCCAGGCTCGATCTCTACCAGCCGGGAGAAGAAATCCACGCCAACGGTGGGGTCGGACACCTGTGCGAAGCGCCCCTCGGTGAACCGCCGGATTAGACACGACTTTCCCACAGTGGAGTCCCCGATGACGATGAGCCGGAACTGATAGAGCCATATCGCCTCCATGACTCGAAGGCTTCCCCCCCACGGCCGTGTCGGTCAGTCTGGTGTGTTGGAGAAGCACGAGCGTGAGTGAGCTCTGATAAAAGTGAAAGAGAAAAGGCACAGTAGTGTTTGAGATAAATAAGTAACTAGTGATGAATGAATAAAACTTTATTGCTTTGGATTGATGTGAAGACAAACACAGTGCGAGGTTTATCCTTGTAGGTCTGGCAAGGTTTCTGATGGGACTTTCTAACCGTGGGAAAAGGTCCTGATAGCAAACAAAGTCAGCATCAAACAGAAAACACCCGTTAGCTCTTAATGCATGGATGTATTTAAAGACTAAAATCTTGTTTACAGAGGCAACCATGTTATAATTTTGGAAAAAGAGTCTTCACGGGCTAGACGTGGGGACGAATATCAAATCACAGCTAAACATGTTAGAAAAATTAACTTTTGACAGTGCAGTAAAATGGTGAAGACTGAATCAACAGTAAGAAGCTTCTGCAAAATTAATCTGAGGTGTGTTTTATTTTAATCAATAAAAATAATTACTATTATAAAGTTAGACACTGAATAATCAAAAGCTATTTCTGATCATATTACGCTTCTAAAACCGATTGTTGTTCAGTCTAAATGTGGAAAGCTCTATCTTAATACTTAAAAACATGAAGTTATATCTAAATATTCACTCACTTTTCTTCTCCAACCATTTTTCCTGGGAAGAAACTGGTAATCTAAATAAATATTTAGAACAAAATCTGAAGAAATATAAAGTTGCATCTTTAAATTAAATCAATACATTTTGAGCTACATATAAATATATATTCAGATTAAAGGAGCATGGGGCAGGATGAAGAAACGAAACTCATTAGCGACGCGCTCGGCGCTGTGAGTAACTGCGCCCGGCACGAGAGCGCGCACAAACTCTTCACTAGAAAAAAAAAAGTTTCCCAGTGATGTACGGCCAGAGCGCGGCTCGATAGTATCAAAACAAGGCACCATGTCGAGCGACGCAGTAAGTAACATTGTTACTTTAGTCTAACATTTGTAAAATTCCATGACATTAGGATTTTAATTTGGCCATGACACTCGTGCTATAAAGCAAGTGCACCTTCCTATTCATAAGCCCGTTTTGTGACTGGCGAGCCAGACAGTGACATGATGCTACTTTATGAGCATAAGGGGCTCCACACACGGGAGGCGACAAACGACCGCGATCAGCGAAATTCGTCACTGTCGCTTTTATTACCTGACACACGGGAGGCGACCCGTGGCAGCGGCCAGCGGCAAAGCCGTCTAAGCGCTCTGGTCCATTGCGGAATTGAAACTTCCGTTGTTTTGATTGGCTGTGTCAGGTTGGAGGGAATTAAGGTTATTTAAGCGGTTCAGAGTTAATAAAGTGGTAGATATGATGTTTCACAAGGTGCTGCTAGAGTTATGTGAAATCTTACTTCTGATTTTACTATATGACACATAATAATAATTAACTTCTCCTTCATGTTTGGTCGGAGATGTACGGAGCATCCTGCCCGCTCATTGGTCAGTGAATGAAACCTCCGCTGATTGGTCCTCGTCCGAGCGACAGCGATGAAAAGTTGAAAATATTTCAACTTTCTGGTATCGTGTCGCTGGGTCGCCTGTGCACGAGCGCAAAATTTCACACGCACGTTTTTCGCGTTTCGCTTAGTAGGAGGGAGATTATCGCTTTGCCGCGCATGTCTCATTGAAAATGAATGGAGGAGAGGCGATGTCGCCTTCCGTGTGTCGAGCCCATAAGGCTTTGTGGCTGCAGGTGATTTCTGATGTTTTTAGACAAATTACAGTTATTATTTTGCACTAAGCTTATTAACAAGCTAATGTTATTGTTTATACATCATGTAAGAACATCCAATTTCAAGTCACTGACATCATTTGTGAAACCAATTTCATTACAGGACAGGCATCACAACAATGTAAATAAGAACATAAATATCAATGTTTAGTTCAAAAAAGTGCATCAAATAAAATCATATCAACAAGACCTACAGGGTAATACAGTCATTTTTATCATTACTGTCATTGATTTTCAGGAATTAACATTGGAAGTACATTTAGTCTGCATATTTAGAATGCATTTAGATATCAATTAAGTTAGAGCTCCACATTTAGATTCAATTTCGTCGTCGTCGTCTTCCTCCGCTTATCCGGGTCCGGATCGAGGGGGCAGCATCCCAACTAGGGAGCTCCAGACCTTCCTCTCCCCGGCCACCTCCACCAGCTCCTCCGGCAGGACCTCAAGGCGTTCCCGGACCAGATTGGAGATGTAACTAACGTGTCCTGGGTCGACCCGGGGGCCTCCTGCCGGCAGGACATGTCCGAAACACCTCCCCAGGAAGGCGTTCAGGAGGCATCCTGACCAGATGCCCAAACCACCTCAACTGGCTCCTTTCGATCCGGAGGAGCAGCAGTTCTACTCCGAGTCCCTCCCGAATGTCCGAGCTCCTCACCCTATCTCTAAGGCTGAGCCCGGCCACCCTACAGAGGAAACTCATTTTGGCCGCTTGTATCCGCGATCTCGTTCTTTCGGTCGTTACCCAAAGCTCATGACCATAGGTGAGGATTGGGACGTGGATCGACCGGTAAATCGAGAGCCTGGTTTTCTGGCTCAGCTCCCTCTTCACCACGACAGATCGGCTCAGCATCCGCATCACTGCAGACGCCGAACCAATCCGCCTGTCAATCTCCCGATCCCTCCTACCCTCACTCGTGAACAAGACCACGAGATACTTAAACTCCTCCACTTGAGGTAGGATCTCTCCCCCGACCCGGAGTTGGCAAGCCACCCTTTTCCGGTCGAGAACCATGGTCTCAGATTTGGAGGTGCTGATCCTCATCCCAGCCGCCTCACACTCGGCCGCGAACCTACCCAGCAAGAGCTGAAGGTCAGAGCTGGATGAAGCTAGGAGGACCAAATCATCCGCAGAAAGCAGAGACGAGATTCTCCTGCCACCAAACTCGACACACTCCACACCACGGCAGCGCCCAGAAATTCTGTCCATAAAGGTAATGAACAGAACCGGTGACAAAGGGCAGCCCTGGCGGAGTCCAACCCTCACCGGGAACAGGTCCGACTTACCGCCGGCTATGTGGACCAAACTCACGCTCCTCTGGTAAAGGGACTGAATGGCCCTTAACAGAAAGCCGCCCACCCCATACTCCTGGAGCGTCCCCCACAGGGTGCCCCTGGGGACACGGTCATAAGCCTTCTCCAAATCCACAAAACACATGTGGATTGGTTGGGCACACTCCCATGCCCCGTCCATCACCCTTGCAAGGGTATAGAGCTGGTCCACAGTTCCACCACCAGGAAAGAAAACTACATTGCTCCTCCTCTATCTGAGATTCAACTATTGATCGGACCCTCCTCTCCAGTACCTTGGAGTAGACCTTTCCAGGGAGGCTGAGGAGTGTAATCCCCCTATAGTTGGAACACACCCTCAGGTCACCCTTCTTAAAGATGGGGACCACCACCCCGGTCTGCCGCTCCACAGAAACTGCCCCCGATGACCACGCAATGTTGCAGAGACGTGTCAACCATGACAGCCCTACAACATCCATAGCCTTAAGATACCCAGGACGAACCTCATCCACCCCCGGGGCTCCGCCACTGTGTAGTTGTTTTGACTACCTCAGCAACTTCTGCCCCAGAGATTGGACAGTCCATCCCCAGGTCTCCCGGCTCTGGTTCCTCCTCGGAATGCGCGTAGGTGGGATTGAGGAGCTCCTCAAAGTATTCCTTCCACCGTCCGACTATAGCCCCAGTTGACGTCAGCAGCTCCCCATCCCCACTGTAAACAGTGTGAGCGAGTTGCTGCCTTCCTCTCAATTTCAATTTAATTTTAGAAATGTTTTATGTACATTTTTAGAATAAAATCTAAATATAAAGTCAAATATTTAGTTAATTGTGAAAATAAAAAGTTGCATCACAATTTTAGAATCTAAATATAATTGTTAGTTTTAAAGTAAATATCCCACTAATATGCATGTTCTATCTGCCATAAATCAAAAGTATCCAACCAAAATAAAAGTAGGGTGAAGAAACCCCCTGTCTAAGGATTATGGGACTTCTTGATGGCAAGTTACACGTTGATAAATAGATTTACACTACCTTACCATCTACATGTATGTTACAACATTTAGACATAACATTTAATTTTCTCAAGAAGTTTCCACCTTGTGTTTGCTCTCAAGAGCTAAATATTGCTAAATGTATATTTTTGGCACAATTGTACAATTTAATTGTATTCTGTAAAGTCCATGTTCATGTCCATGTTCCTATGTTTTCACTAGAGGAGGTAAAATGTATTGTGCTTCATACATTTCTGTACAACACATCTCTCAGGAGATGTTTTGTTATCAGAGTTGATGGAGGCTGAGTCAGCAGTAGCATAACTACAGCCTTGAGATGTTCTGCTCTACTTCTCTTTCTGGCATCACAAAGCTGTACTTATACTGTTTTAATACCTTTTAAAGTAAACGGTAACCCATCACATCCTGTGTGTGATGTGGCTTTATGCGACAGCAGATCTCACAACAGACTGACTGACTAGGGCTAGGGTTATTATCACCTCCGCCCCGTGCTTATATCACTATCTTTCACTGCATTCGTTGCATGATTCAATTAAAACCACAAGGCATTAGAAAATTCTCTTATACTTTTCAAGTCACTTGACGGCTTTGCCTCATGTTTTAATAAGAAGCAGCTATGTGGATTACTGCTGTGGACTAATTCTCCATTTGAAAGGAGGCTTTGGCATCTAGATGTGAAAGCCTACAAATAATTAGATCAGGCAGGCATGAAGCACCGCAACATTTAGCTCATAAAAGAAATTTTACTGTTGCTTTAGGGCTGGTCGTTCACTCAACCCCTGCATGAAGACTGAAGGGTTGTGCATTTGTGATAAATGGCTATTTGTTTTAACAGCTGACTGATCAGGAGCTGTGTTTCAAGAACTGTTTGATCAATAATAAATCAATATTTCAAGACTTTCAACTTTGTAGTTGCTGATGAAGCAGACTTTGACCTGATGAGATACTTTTGTAAACACAAACAACAACACAGTTTGGAGGGTTCTTACAAAGCTCCAAACACAATCACGCCCAGAGTGTTTTCAGTCACTTTATACCTTAGCTTTATAGACAGTCAGGGAATTGTATTACTTAACTGAGAATTGATTTTACAATTAACTAAATCCCCAACAACAGTATTAGTATTAGTAGTAAGGAATAATACTTTTGGGGGGGGTGGGGGGGGGGGGGAATAGCGAATTTTAACAAACTAAACATTTTAGTTTAGACAGATGGACACACATCGGAAATGACCTAACTTCTTTTAACTTCAAATAAATATACTCAAAGATGACGCTGTTTGCCATGGAAACGTTTAAAATGAATTACCACCTTACCTTTCAATGACCTGAGTTTGAAGAAATAGAGATTATTTATAAAGATTAGAGATGCTAACTGCTAGTCCAAACCTAAAGTGGATTTAAGCTCCCCACCCCCCCACCCCCTCCCCCCACCCCCCACCACCAGTTAAAACGTCAACAACACATACATTAATTAAAAAGAAAACATAACTCAGAAATGTTCATCAAAAAGGGATGGTAAAACTGTAACAGAATATCATTTGCTTATACTGATAACAGCAGCTAGCTTTAGCATTTCCATAGCATTCTGGGACACTTCTAGTAGTGATCCCATAATATTCCTGCTGGAATGTTATATTAAAACAACACACAGGTTTAAATGTGTAGAAAGTAGTTTTGATATGAACAGTGATGGCAGAAATCCACTCAGTAAGCAGCCTTTCTTGAAATAGTTAGCTCATCAATCTGGTCCAAAGCCAGTATATTATTCTTCAAATTGAGACAGTTCAAATAGCAATCTACAACAGATAAGATAACTACTCATAGTCTCTTTTAAAACCCGAAAGCTCCTCAGTTTAACTGGTACTGGCATTATCCTGTTACACAATACCATCAATGCAATATTCAGTATGTGTTGAATACTTGTGCAATACCAGATGTACATTAGTATTTATGTGTCCCTTATGCTGCATAGGTCTGGAAACCCGATTTTTTTATTCATTGTTTTTAGTGGTTGAAGGTTACAGTAATAGCTTACCGCCTTTGTGTGTTTACTTGTAATCTTGTTGTTATTTTTCTTCTTCCTTCTCTCTAAGTGGTTGTGCTGCTGTAGCAAGTGGATTTCCTCACTGTGAGATTAATAAAGATGATTCTATTCTATAATGTAAATAACTGTTTTGATGCTTTGGGTAGGTGAGAACATATCAGATGTCAATAAAATATTTTATAGAAACTTAAGTTGGTTTGGTTTTGCAGAAATATTAAGTAATTTTTCAGTTGGTAAAAGGTGAACAGCTAATTTACAGTGTATTTATCAGTTTTTCTATAGGTATCATTACAATAACACACAAAGAGTGTTATTCTAGTTTAAAACTCAGTGAAATCGCTCCTAAAATGCTCTACTTGTATTATCTCTACATCTTATGCAATATATCTATCTTAAAGACAGAGAGAGCCAGACCCATGAAAAATCCCATCATCCCCTACGGCTCTGGAGTCAGGTTGCATAGTTTGGTTGGTGTGCAAACATTAGTGAGTGAATCCCCAGTGAGTATCAGCCTGATGGGCTCTCCAGCTGGTGGTTAAAAGGTCCTTTTTACATGTCAAACCTCAGCTGAAGCTAAATGATCGAAATCTGGTGCTAAATATAAGCAAAGGTGATGGATGGGATCATAACGCTTTTATAAACTTGTTTTCTCAAACTTATCTTGACTATGGAAGGCAACTATATGATAACAGGAGGATCAGATGTTTTTAAGCAGAAGTCAATTATGAAAGCAATTTAAAACATCCACAAACTTTCAAAATAAAAGTCACATGCAGATTTCCAGTTGCCTAACTAGTGCTAGCTAACTGGAGGTGGTCAGGGGGACTGATGCGCCAGTGTTCGGCAGTCTCGCTTCTGTCAGTGTGCCCAAAGGCAGCTGCGGCTACATTATAGCTCATCATCATCAGCATGTGAATGTGTGGATGACTATGTTGTAAAGCACCTTGGAGGGTTGTAGAACCCTTAAAAGGTGCTATACAAATACAAGCCATTTACAAAAAAAATAAAAAGTGCACCATTTCCCGTGAAACCTCCGTAGATGAGAAAATAAAATAAAACACAGACCCTTGTGGAAACACGCTACAGTCTTTCTTCTTGCTTGTAATGTTTCCTGAGCGCAGCCACAGCTAGGGCTGCTCAATTAATCGAATTTTAATCACGATTACGATCTGAGCTTTGAACGATTATAAAAACAAAACAAGCCGATTATTTGCTCCTCCCACTTGCGCTGCCCCGAGTTGCAAATGAAGCGCTCCTCCCAAAGTGTTGCCAACTTGGCGACTTTGACGCTGTTTCTAACAGCTTTTCAGACCCGCTTCTTGACTTTTTAAATCTTAAAAGTACCTAGCGAACACCTCAGAAACATCTCTGGTAACCCTTAGCTACTTTCTGGATAACTGTCGTTGTCGACGTTTCCTGCAGGTTAGCTAAACACTCCGCCTGCGCTCCGGACCTTTCTTCAGGACATTAGGAAAGGGAATGATGTAGTGAAGTGTCAGTCGCTAAAGAAACAGCTCTCGGAGCCGGCTCCCTGTTGGAGTAACCAAAGTGAGTGACACACACACCGCACCTGCGGACTCCTGAGCCACTAAAAACGGCTAAATGTGCGCGTGCGGTGCGCTAAACACACGTACAGCTTGCCCCAATTGCTGTGAGACCGGGTGGGGGGTGCAGCTGTGGTTGGGACAATTATTACATTAACTGATGGACGACTTGTAAATAAATAGTTTATAAATAAGGTAGAAATAACTTCCTCACGCTGATAAATAACTAATCTCTCTGAGGACACGGTGCTAGTGCACTCTCCTACAGCACATTGACACGACTCAATAAATGTTATGCAACATTTTGTGAACATCAATTTTTTTGCATTTATTTGTTATAAATGCCACTGTATAATTCTTGCTGTCAGTGTTTGCAAGATATTGGTATTTGGGTCTGTACTGGTTAGACTTGAATGAGTTAAACCAAGGTCTATAGCCCTTGGGTCATAGACTATGAGCTACAAGTATATTGGTCTTTTTTTACTGGGAATCAGGAGTTATTTTAGTGATCATCTTGTTTCTTATTTATTTTTGTCCTGATTGTGCCCTGAGCAATTTTATGACTGAATAAAAACAAATAAAATCAACATAAATTGAAAAATCGTCCTAAATAATCGAGATCTCAATTTCAGTCACCATAATCGTGATTATTATTTTTGCCATAATCGAGCAGCCCTAGCCACAGCTGCAGCTCACCGCTCCCCACGGGGATGGGTCAAAAGCAGAGATGTAATTTCACCAGTGTGTGATGATGACTAATGGGACTTTAACTTAACCACCTGAACTGCAGAATTATCTGGTGATTTTGTGACCTCGCAAAACCAGATGTGTGGAACGCTTTTGCAGCCATTTTGCATCTTAATTGCTACCTGTGGCAAGGGAGCGTGGAAATAAAACGTGTCTATTACATTATGTACCGCTTAACATCAGGATTTAATTAATGATGGGCAACATTGTCATTACAAAACTCTACAAAATCACGGTTAATATTTATGGAGGAATGCGGGAAAACGTGCTACCAGATTTTTAATATGAATTTTTTCAACACAGTTAGTCGTGATGTGACGCTTTAAAAGCGCTGTGGTTTTGGGGAGTGAGTGTCAGTAGGTCGGCTGTTCTGAGTGTGTGCCGGGTCTACAAATACAATATGGCAGTACAAGTAAGCAGTGTATTTTTACACATTTTTGATCAATGGAACCAGGACAAGACGCTTCACCAACTAATACTATGTGCTTATGGTTTAACGTTGAACAAAAAATAATAATAATAGTGACATATCAGAGTTTAAAAAACATATTGACGTACTAACTGAGGATTAATGTTTACATGCTGGAAAGTAATTTTACATGAATTATAATTATTATTCTAATTATTAAGAAGTCTATCATTTTTAAAATAGAAGTGTGGTATAATTATGTCCTATAACGGCTTGCCACATATTTGAGTAAACAATGTTTGTTTGTTTTTAGATGATCGTGCGTTTAGTGAATCAAAGGTGATTTTAACAGCAACATTTCCCAAAATCCACGGTCCTGTTGATGATTAACTATCAGTTAAAACACTTTTTCATTAACTAGTCCAAGTACGGTAATTTAATCTTTGAAAATGGTTGACAAAGTTAACTCGTGTGCTGCTGAACCGATTGAAAGGTTAGTATTAGAAGACAGACCTGATTGTGAGGAGACGGAGCCTGTTTAAAGCAAGAGAGGACTTCGCTTTAGGCCCTGGTTGTTGCTCTTCTTTACGCCGATCAGGACCTGGATGAGGCCGGCTCCATGGCTCCGACTAGTCTGGCTGGATCGATGCTCGGGGTGCAGCGAGATCACGGCGTCAAAAAATAAACGATAAAAGCAAAACACTCGATGTTTAACCTGAAACTCGAACACAAAACAGATGTAGCCAAAGCTGGGCCCCGGAGTCAAGGGCTAATTGTGTCCCAGTGCCAGGCCCGCTGAAGAAAAAACGCATTCAGAGCAGGTGCAGCTTTAAAAACACACCGGATTTCACTCTCACGTGCTTCCCGAGTCCGTTGTTCTTCTTTTCGGCAGCTGTTTCTGCCTGGACCCGTCGGACGTGGAGAAAGGAGGGGGAATCCCACCGTATCACTTCTGTGTTTGCTGAGTGTTTGTAGCTTTTGGCTGCTGATGAAATGGCAGCGGGAGGAGCAGCATCATATAGCCTGACTCATCCCGCATCAGTACCACTACTACCGTAAAGGAGCGAGCACGGCCGCAACAAGAAACTCCAAAGAACACTTCCTTAACTGCGAAACGGAGCTAAAAAAATACACAAACGTGTTTATATGTTATCCAGCGTCACATAAACAGACAAATGATATGTTTGTTTTCTGACCATAAAACTCTCGACATATCAGCAGTGACAGTGCAAATGTAGCTAGATCACGTGGCTAATATTTAGCCTCTTAAACTTGCTACAAAAAGCCTCACAGTGGATGACATTCTAAATAAACATGTTATCCAACAACGAGTTTAAAATCTGAACGCTTTTAAACGTGTTTGAAGCGTTTATTTTTCTTAGGAGAGTCGAACAACAGCCAGGAAGTTGCACAATCTGTCCCTGAGCTGTAGCTGCAGTGCGCAGTCGCGGAAGTGGTCACCGTTCGCGCTATTGCCAGCGGGAATTGTAGTCTTATATACATGCAAGCAGAAAAAACGTGTTAAGTTGTTTAATGGCCTAAAAAAACTCCTATTGTGAGTTTATGTGTTTGACAAATAATAATAAAAAATTATTTATTTTTGTGTTAATTAAAAGTTATTGGTTTGGTGGAGCAGTGGTTAGCGCTGTTGCCTTGCAGCAGGAAGGTCTTGAGATCTCATCCCAGCCTGGGATCTTTCTGCATGGAGTTTGCATGTTTTTCCTGTGTGTGTGTGTAGGTTCTCCAGCTTCCTCCCACAGTCCAAAAACATGACTGTCACGTTAATTGGTCTGTCTAAATTATCCTTAGATGTGTGTGTGTGCATGGTTGTTTGTCCTGTGTGTCTCTGTGTTGCCCTGCGATGGACTGGCAATCTGTCCATGTACCCCACTTGTTTGCCCGTTGACTGCTGGAGATAGGCACCAGCCCCCCGTGACCCTGCATGGAGAAAATGCATGAGAAAATTGATGGTTTGGTGTGGCCTTTGTTTAACCCCAGCCTCCCCCCATAAAGAGACGCCTCTTGAAATTACACAAACTGCCCATCTGAAAAATAGCTTTCAGACTTACAGATGATCAAATAAATATGACAAATAGGACAAAAATGAAAGGGGGAAAATAAGTAAATAAAAAAATTGTACCCAGGAAAGGTTTGTGTGTAAAAAAATGCTATACTTGTGGCCTCTTGTATGTTACTTTGCAGTCATTTATTATTAAAAAAAAAACAAATGTACTCCACTGTGTGTGTGTGTGTGTGTGTTTTGGAAAAAAAAGAATCACTTTAAAACAGAAATAAACTGGTCATTCAGAAGCATCAAAATATTTTTGCCTTTTTCATATCATTTTAACAGTCTGTTGAATGAAATGTTGATGAAAAGTTTTGATATTTAAAACATTTTTCTTAAAAATAACATCTCAAGCTAAGATTAGATGTTTAACTAAATTAATAAAATATGTTGACAGGTGGGTGGATTAAATGAGGTCATTGCTGTTTGCCCTGCATGACATATTGATCTGAAACATTGGCCAACATATTTTTGAAGTGTTTAGAAAATGTGAGCAAGTAAAAGATTAGTTAATAGTTAATCTAGTGCATTGTTTTGTGATCGGAGCACGTCATTAAGTTCCATCTGTAACTTTAATTCTGTTCCATCAACGAAGGAATGTTTTTCAAACAACAAGACACTTCATCAATTTAAACTAGGTTAACAGATTTAATCAATCTAAACCAGCTCGACTCAAACAGAGGGTTGTTAACATTTAGAATTAGGATGAATTCCTCCCAAGAGTGGCATCAATAATCAGATCGGTCAAACCAAAACATATAGTACAAGGTATTTTAATCCAGTCAAGATAAAGTAATCATGTTTTTTGATTTTATGGCAGATCTTGCGTGTGTGTGTGTGTGTGTGTGTGTGTGTGTGTGTGTGTGTGTGTGTGTGTGTGTGTGTGTGTGTGTGTGTGTGTGTGTGTTTATTAGCACAATTTCTGATGAACCCCAAATTGAGTTCTAAATTAAATGTTTTAGAAAGGAATCACTGGATGCACAATTAAAACTTTTTTACCCTAAATCTTATGGTGCTCCTCTCTAAAGCAATAAGGTTAATAAGATATCAGCTTGAATAATTACTTGGTTTTGTACCCTTTTAAAACTTTTTGATTTGATTTCAGCCCAAATTACATATTTTTTACCCTTTTGAATACTGCATGTCTTCATTTTGTCTTGTTTTTTTTACTTACTTGAGGAATACCCTGCTTTGTTCTATAAGGTTTAATTAACTTTTACATTTTCTAATTGACTACAGACCACTTATAACCTTTATTTTGTTTTTACATTTGTCTCTTAGAATGATATAGGGACCTCGTCTAATTTCGTTAAACACGTTTTAACGACAATAAAGACATTGATTCATTTATTAAAATGTATCATATTTGCTTCACTTATTGCTAGGTTTCTCAAACCTTCATCTTTTGAAAGGTCACCTTTGCTCATATTTTTAACTCATTTCTCTGGTAGGGGTCTCTGGTTGGAATGAATACAATGCAAGTTGTTCTCTGGGGAAAGAAATCTCTGTTGCGCTCCTGTTTGAGGTCACAGAAGTCACCTGGAGGAGGAAGAACACAACAGGATTTGGAGTCTCATTTCCTGATATTTGGACATCTCATCTCTGATTTGATTCAATTCAATTCAATTCAATTCAAGTTTATTTATATAGCGCCAAATCACAACAAGAGTCGTCTCAAGGCACTTCACATAATAAACATTCCAATTCACAGTTCATCAAGCCAATCAGAAATAACGTTTCCTATCTAAGGAACCCAGCAAATTGCATCAAGTCTGACGAGTGTCATTGACTATACAGCAATCCTCATACTAAGCAAGCATGCAGCGACAGTGGAGAGGAAAACTCCCTTTTAACAGGAAGAAACCTCCAGAGAATCCTGGCTCAGTATAAGCAGCCATCCTCCACGACTCACTGGGGATCGAGAAGACAGAGCACACACACACACACACAAACACACACACACACACACACACACACACACACACACACACACACACACACACACACACACACAATAATGTGTCTATAGTTCTATTGTGATGTCTTAGTAAATATTCTGTTTGGTGAGATCAACATTATTGTATTTATCCTAGTGGATCTCAAATTAAATGGGTAAACTAGCAGTAACACGTCCAACGTCAAGGAAAGCACAAAGTTATTATCAGGAGAGAAAGAATGTATTAGTGGTTAGTAGCAGTGTTCAAGACGATGGCCCCCTCCATGAGGCCACCACAGCTCAGCAGAACATCGTTGTAGCTTCTTCTGGGGAGAAAAACACTTCGAGAGAAAATAAAGTTAACAGCTGAAATAGCAGGAAGTAATACAGTTAAAGAGCAGATAGTAGAAGAAAGTAGTAGAGTGTGGAAAGTGGTCAGTGTATCCTCCAGCAGTCTAAGCCTATAGCAGCATAACTACAGAGATAACTCTGGATGATCTATCCTATTTAGATGGAGGCATGTTGGAGGCAGGGCAAGGGAGAGTCGTCTTTACCGACTGTACACTCCACCTCCCTGTACTCCCCCACTTGTCCTGATTTAGGCTAACATCAGATTTTAACCATAAGCCCTATCAAATAAAAATGTTTTAAGCCTATTCTTAAAAGTAGACAAAGTGTCTGCCTCACGGACTAAGGCTAGGAGCTGGTTCCACAGGAGAGAAGCCTGATAACTAAAAGATCTGCCTCCCATCCTAATTTTAGATATTCTGGGAACCACCAGTAAACCTGCAGTCTGAGAGCGAAGTGCTCGGTTAGGAACGTATGGAACAATCAGATCACTGATGTATGATGGAGCTTGATTATTAAGAGCTTTGTATGTGAGAAGAAGGATCTTAAAATCTATTCTGAATTTAACAGGTAGCCAATGTAGGGAAGCTAAGACAGGAGAGATATGTTCTCTCTTTTTAATTCTCATCAGAACTCTAGCTGCAGCATTTTGGACAAGCTGAAGACTTTTAACTACATTCTGTGGACTTCCTGAGAGTAATGAATTACAGTAATCCAGTCTTGATGTAATAAATGCATGAACTAGTTTTTCAGCATCACTCCTGGAAAGTATGCTTCTAATCTTAGCAATATTCCGAAGGTGGAAAAAGGAAATCCGACAAACTTGTGAAACCTGGGATTTGAATGACATGTCCTGGTCAAAGATAACACCAAGGTTCCTTACTTTGTTCTCGGAGATTAATGTAATGCCATTCAAGTCAGGTGATTGGATTTGATTAGATTTGATAACAGCAACACAACTCTACCACTGACTCTGTTTGCAATGTTGATGTTGAATTTCCACAAATAATTCAAGCCTGAAGGAGTTCTGCTGTGTGGTGGAGTTGCTAATGCTAACGGTTAGCTTCTACTTGCCGACACATTCCCTGCTGTTTCAATTCAAATCGGTTTATTTATATAGCGCCAAATCATGTCAAGAGTTGTCTAAAGGCACTTCACAAACATTCCAATACAGTTCAGTTCATTAAGCTAATCGGTAAAAAGTTTTCTATATAAGGAACTCAGCAAATTGCATCAAGTCACTGACTAGTGTTTCCTGGACCTAAACCAACAACAGCCTTCCCCGTCATGTGTCAAGATGGCTGAGGTAGTGTGACGTAGATCTGTCAGGATTTTCAAATCTCATAGTTTCACCGTCTAATTTGTGTCAGAAGCTAATGCAGGAGATAGGTGTAGGAGACTATTTTCATGTTTAGCCTGCATGAAAAACTCAGCGCGACTGATCATTTTTCAAAAAGAACGAGTAAAAAAAGGTTTTTCTGTGAACTTGCTCTTTAACAGGACTAGTATATTCCTCAAAGTCTGCTGCCTCCTTGTGGATCAGTGCAGGACATAGGTTCTAATTGTATTCTGTAATGTTGTAGTTTTGTAACAGATCAGTATTTTGAGAACAAAGATAACATTGCAAACCAATTCTAAATAGCCATTGATCTTAGAAAACACTAAAATGTTGCAGATACAGTGATCCCTCGCTACTTCGCGGTTCGTTTATCGCGGATTCACGACTTCGCGGATTTTTTCTTTGGAGCCTTATTCAAGGGAAATTCGCCAATTTGCGGTATTTTTCACTGATTCGAGGTATTTTTCTATGCGAAATATCAATAAATTCCTGTTTTTTCATCAATTTCATCATAAAATGCACTTTTTGTAATAAAACTATAAAAAAACCAAGGAAAATTTTTTTTCTTGAGTTTTACCCAAAAAAAGAGAATGTGATCATACGATAATTCAATATAGTACTGTACTGTAAATATGGTGTCCCTACTTCGCGGATTTTCACCTATCGCGGCCAGGTCTGGAACGCATCTACCGCGATAAACGAGGGATCACTGTATTTGTGTGTATTTTTTGGTAGCTGAGTTGTCCCCAACCGATGCTCCAACTACTAAGTATGTGAGATATTTGTTTCAGACTGACGTTCCATCAACCATTTCAAGCCAACCTTATCTGTCTGATAGGCTGGATGGCTGGATGGCTCCTATAGTGAAAGTTCTAGAAAGTAGTCCTTAGATGTACATCTGTAACTGTTAGACAAGTGGAGTCAGTCCAATTCAAAATGATGATTGAAGTTGATTGACATTACCAAACCATCCAAAATTATAAATACATTAAATCATATATGAGTAGCAAACAATGTTTGATGTGTAAAACCAGCTAGTTAGACATTTTAGCCAACATTCAGCTTGAAGTCATTGTACACCAGAACTGACAGATTGCACCGTATTTTGTGAGATTGCACATAATCAAATTTGGCCCCAAACCAAAACAGCTCTGTCACTTAATATAGCTTTAAATGTATTTATTTATTATTTAATTTAATTGAAAAATTGCGACTGAAGTTCGGCAGGTTTGGCGAGATTGACAACCGGATGGTCCAATTGTCAGCTTGGGTCCTAGCTGTGTAATTGGCAGAGGTTTTTAGACAAATAGAAATAACCACTTTTTAAAAATCTTTTGGGGTTTTTAGTTTCCACAGCATGTTATAGCTATACTATTTTATAACGTTGTTAGGAGGCATAAAAATGTTTGAAGCTAACTTATTTTGCTGATTCGCTATTGCAGCTTTAATTCTAAACATGAAGGGAAACAGGTGACATGCATTCTTATGGTCTTATAATCATTTACAATTTGTTTACACACACACACACACACACACACACACACACACACACACACACACACACACACATTGGGTGTGTGTGTGGGCGTGGCACTGACACCCGGGGCTGTCGCTGGAGCGTCTACAGGCGGAGATCGGCTCACTAACCGCAGACCAGCAGCTACAGATAACGTTTCTTCTTGTAGCAGCACGATGATTATAAAGAAACTTTTCTTTTTAAAATTTTTAAATCAACAAACTTTTTAAAAGACAGGCTACGGTATAACCAAAATTAGATTACTCAGAATAATCTTTCGGTTTATCCGTCTGTGGTATCGCGAGGAATTAGTTAGAATGACGTTTTTCTGAGAATTAACATTTGAAGAAAGAAGTTTCTAAAAATCTTTTGTTTGTAAGATCAGAAACTGTCCAAACCACCGGTTAAGGCTTCGACTGACGACTCTTCAGAGCTGCTGGAGCCATAATTGGAGACATCGCCGCTCTCTCTCTCTCTCTCTCTCTCTCTCTCTCTCTCTCTCTCTCTCTCTCTCTCTCTCTCTCTCTCTCTCTCTCACTCACACACACACACACACACACTCTCAGTGATGCAGTATGAGAGGCTGCTCAAAGTTTTGGTCATCGGAGATCTGGGAGTGGGTAAGACGTCCATCATTAAGCGTTACGTGCACCAGGTCTTCTCCCAGCACTACCGGGCCACCATAGGAGTGGACTTCGCCCTCAAAGTGCTCAACTGGGACGCGCAGACGGTGGTGCGGCTGCAGCTGTGGGACATCGCTGGTGAGGAAAACTCATCTGACCAGTAAACCTGCAGATAATCTACGCATCTTATCTGTGCTGCAGAATTTACTCATGTCTTATATTCTATGGGGTGCCATCTGTTCAACACTAAACTATTGACAGGGTTGTTTTACCACACAGATTTTTAAAATATTGTTAGAATTAGTATTGAGAGTGAAATATAAAAATACGCAAATAATTTTTAATTATATCTAAATATGTGAAATTAAAACTAACATTTTAGAATCATATCCAAATATGTGAAGTGAAAACTGCATGATTATAAGGAAATATTTTCAGAAATGAGAATCAAATAAAAAATGTTCAATTGAAGATAACGTTTTAGAGCAATATCTCTGAAGTTAAACATCTTTATTTAGATTTAAATCTAAGTATGTTACATTAACATTAAATCTTTAGAATATAATGCAAAATTATACAATTAAACAGTTTTAAAATACATATGTAGTTAAAAATGATTATTGGCTGCACAGGAACAGGCCATAAACACCAGAGCAACAGAGGCCAAGATCTACCACACCAGACAAGACCCAAGGTGTAGGCTATGCAGAGAGGCCCCTGAGACAATCCACTACATAACTGCAGGGTGTTAGATGCTGGCAGGGAAAGCATACAAGGAACGCCACAACCAAGTAGCTGGCATCATGTACAGAAACATCTGTGCAGAGTATGGAATGGAAGCCCCAAGGTTAAAGTGGGTAACACCCCCTAAGGTGGTAGAGAACGAGAGCCAACCTCCTGTGGGACTTCCAGATCCAGACTGACAAAATGGTGATGGTGAACCTGCTACATTGGTAACCGACAGACATTGTTGTGGTGGACAAACAACAGGGGACAACTGTTGTGGTTGATGTAGCAATACCAAGTGATGGTAACATCAGGATAAAGGAACACGAGAAACTAGAGAAGTACCAGAGTCTAGGCTGCGATGACCTTGAACCTCAGAAAAAACAATGGACCAACATCAGCAGATGACATGGCACCCCAAACCATCACTGACTGTGGAAACTTTACACTGGACCTCAAGCAGTTAGAACATAACTTTGGACCACTCAGCAGCAGACCATTCCTTTTTGTCTTTAGCCAGGTGAGACACTTCTGACTCTGTCTCTTGTTCAAGAGTGGCTTCACACAAGGAATGTGACAGCTGTGCTTGGACACAGAGCTCTGTGAACAGCCATCCTCTTTAGTGTCTTGCCCTCCTCGTGCAAGGTGTCCATGGTCATCTTTTAGACAACTGTCAAGTCAGCAGTCTTCCCCATGATTGTGTAGCCTATAAAACTAGACTGAGAGATCATTTAAAGGCTTTTGTAGGTGTTATGAGTTATAATTAGCTGATTAGAGTGTGGCACTATTGTTTCCAGATTTGAACCATTTCAAAATATCCTAATATCCTGAGAAACTGAATTTGGGATTTTCATTAGTTGTCAGTTATAATCATCAAAATTAAAAGAATAAACATTTGAAATATATCAGTCTGTGTGTAATAAATGAATCTAATATAAAAGTTTTCACTTTTTGAAAGGAATTACTGAAATAAATTACTTTTTCATGATAATCTAATTTTATGACCAACACCTGTACATTTTCAAATGTAATTCTGCACTGGTTGTTTAGCAACATTTTAAAATTAAAACGGAAGTGGTTCCTACCTTTACATATTTAAAATAGATTCTACATAATTATTTTAAGTTTGACTATTTAGATTTCTGTTCAAGCACATAGACCTCACTTTGTAATTTCTTGGATGAATGTGGAGGGAGAAAAGCTGCAGCACATTACACATGTAACACAAACATTTCCATTTTATTAATTTCAACATCTTCTGTAGCTTGACTGAATTTTGCTGACACACCCACAATGACGATGCATGATACAACAAATGTTTGCCTAAAAAATGCAGTTAACACCACTTCTGCTGATGTACGTGTAGTAAAATGCTTGTCATCTTTATTTTATGACACCTCCATGTCTCTTTAAGTACGTTAGATTTCTGTCTCATTGACTTGCACACATGCACACTAAAACACGCAACTCTCCTCTTCCTGTGTGTGCCAAATCAGGTGATCGCTGATAAGAGCTGTCGTCTCCATTTAAAACATCGAGCCGAAGCAGCGGACTTTAGACTGGTCATCATAATTGTGCAGAATTGCACATAAAGCTGTAACATTTTCCTCATCAGTGTAAAAAGTAGAGAATTGCATTACTGATTTAGTGTGTTTTTAAACAGAATAAAGTAATAACAAGGTTTTTTTTCAGGGTCAAAATGTGAAATGTTGTATGGCTTCAAATTCTAAAGTAAGACTTGTTGGCAAAGTTGGATGGGGATCACAGGCTCTCTTTGCAATTTTAAATGTAGGTAAACCCAGAGAATTTCGACACATGCAAATACTGCTCAGAAAGGCTGCAGCTGGGTTTTGCAGCTGCAGCCTTTCTTGCTTTAAAGCAACAGTGCTACAGACCACGCCACTATGCAGCCATAAACAGAGCATTAAATAGGCTGAAAATTGGGCTCCATGACGTCCTTCTGTGCAATTTGCGTCGCTTTGCCAACAGGCTTCATTCATTTTCAGCCAGACATTTACAGAGATTCCTTTTTGGATACTGACTAGCAGCATGTTTTCTTGCCAAGTCACAGAGCCCGCTCGTGAGACAAAGACGCCAACAAAAGCACTTGTCATAAAAAGAGGGCAGAAATTAAAACAAAAAATCCTAAACTTGATCTTGTTTAAATAATAGCTGATGTTAGCATCAAAGTCCAGCTAGCTTTTAGAGGAAGATAAAAAAAGTAAAGGTGGAAAACTCCCATGAATCATAGTTCCATGGGTTAAAACACGTGGTTGTTTATGATCATCTTGTTTAATTTTGAGCGTAATCGTTTAGAATGATCATTATAGTGTGTTTTGTCTTGTTGGTGTTGCTAAGACTGTAGCTTTGACAATAGCTATTATGCTACCACAATAACATTTTCTGTGCCAGTGTGTAATGTTCTAGAAGCGTAACTAGTGTGTCTGTGAAATACTAATCAGCATGCAACGTCTTGTGTTAGCATATACTACAAATTAGGTGATTTAATTGTTTGATGTATTGTTTCTGATTGGTTTACAGTGACATGACTTCCACTGCCTTCATTCACTTGACTTTCTTGGGTAAAAACAAAAAAAAATACAACGCTGATGTTTTATATCCACTAATAACACGGGCTTGAATGTTTTCAGCCATGTTGTGGGGTTGCTAACAGTTAGCATCTACTGGCTGAGATGTGCTCTACTCTTTCCTGGCCGCAAAATCAACAACCAGCTTAAGCAATCGCAAGCCAAAGTAGGCGTGCCCATATAGCTGTGACTTCAAAAAGACTGTCTTTTTCTTACCTAACTATTTCCCCGCCTACTTCCTTTCCTCGGCTAATGCGGGCGAAATAGGTTGAAGACTATTTTTGCATTCATCGTTCATATACAACTCAGAATGACTGATTGTATTTCAGAAAGAATATTACATGGCTTCTTGGTGAATGACACCTTTAAATACTTGTGAGTTGCTACAACCAGATCATTATTTTAGATGGAAAGGTTTTTGAGAACTTCTTAAACTGTTTAAAAAATTCAAGACACAAAAACAAATCTTGAAGTGAAGTAGTGTCACAAAGTTAAGCCTGATTTATATTTCTCCATCTGCGTCGGTGCGGTGCAACACCATTAGGGGTCGGCGCAAGGGCTCTCTGACAGGCTCATAGAGGGTGACAGAGACATGTCCAAATTTTAAACATTGTGATTGGTCATGTAACCGGATTACAGGATACAATAAGATAATTAAAAGAAAAAATAAACAAATGGGCCAATAATTAGGTTCGGGGAGAATTGGAGGTTGTTTAAGAATGACTGGAGTCACGGGTATAGCATGAAACGGTTTATATACTAAATTTTAATAATAATGGGAAATATAACACATAAAGATAACACACAAAAACAGATGAAAAAATCGACAATAGTAAAATGCTCGGTATGAGATTTGATCATATGAGTCACAAGTCAGCCGGCGTCAAGTCAAATCCCCACGCTTGGGGTGAAAGTCAGAGTCCGGTGGTGCGATTTTTTCCTACCACACCGTTGAGATTGTTCACAGAAGAGAGCAGTCTGCTCTTCAGTTACTTGAGATGTCCTGGTTCGTTCAGTGGTTAAGGCTCGCCATCTCCCTCGTCAGGAAGAAATCCAGTTCTCGTTCCAAGTGAGTGATCATAGGAGTCGGGATCAAACCCAAGGAATAAAAAAAACCCAGCCTGTAAACAACAGGACTGTTAGCGAGTTGGCATCGACCCTTCTCGTCACATCACAGCATAAAGTCTTACAGACTTAAACAAATGCTTCACTCTATTGGCATAGCCAATCATGTTTGGGTTCACAGTTCAACTAACATAACATCAATTTGATTGTCTATTAAAATAATTCTCAGTAGCTCTGGAAATATAATTACATATGACAACAATTGTTCAGCTCAATAGGCTCAGTTAGATTCTATTACTCTACACTATTCAACAAGAAATACATTCATGACAACAAGGATACATTTAGTTGTGTTTCTATACAGCATTGTGACACCTTGTATATCTGTAACACAATAAATAAATAAATAAATAAACAAACAAATAAATAAATAAAATTTTCTATAACAAAATTAAACAAAATATAAATTCTGGTCCTTTGGTCCACCTTTGTAAAATAATTCCTCCCTAATCAGTTAGCTTTTATTTATTTTTATTTATCTATTTTTTTTATTATTAAATGTTTGGTTAAGGGACGCATTGCTAATTCTATGGCGTTAGCTATAATGCCCCTGAGGACCTTGTACATCTAGGCCGTACCACCATTAACTGGCGGTTTGAGCCGTTAACTCCTGGGAATCCCATATGCCGTACCGCCGTTAACTGGCGGTTTGAGCCGTTAACTCCTATATGCCCTACCACCGTTAACTGGTAGTTTGAG